TAGTCCAGGCTCACCCGGAACTCACTACGTACACCAGGCTGGCCTGGAACTTGCTATGCAGACAGGCTGGTCTTGGACTTGTGACATTCTTCCTGCTTCTGCCCCTAAGTGCTGAATTGGCAGTTGTGTGCCCCTGTGCCCGGGTATCCAGTTTGGGTTTTTAGTACCGTTTTATTGAGATGTAATTAACATGCTGTGACTCTGCCCTCCCCTTTTTATTTGCAGTGCTAGGAATTGAACCCACACCAGCCAAATGCTCTGCTATTAAACGACATCCCTAGCCCAAGTTTGCCCTTTTAAACTTCACAGCTAGTGGGTTGCACAATTGTGTATCCATCCCTGCTCCCTAATTCCAGGACTTTTTTGTTACACCCTTTAAAAAAAGCCAACCTGGCATTTATTAGCAGTCACCCCCCATTCCTTCCTCTCTCAGCTCTGGGACACCATTAATATATTTTCCATCTTTGCCAATTTGCCTGGCCTGGATAGTTTGTGGAAACGGAACCTGATGCTACGTGCCTGACTGACGTTGTGTCTTCTTGGGGACACGCGCGCGCGCGCGTGTGCGCGCGCGCGCGCTCGCACACACACACACACACACGCCTAGATCCCTAGACAGGGATCGCACGACAAACCAAAGTCCACCTTTGCAAACCAACAGGTTTTATTGGAGTTACTTCCAGGAGTGTGGCTGAGGGGTCACTTCCAGGAGTGTGGCTGAGGGGTCACTTCCAGGAGTGTGGCTGAGGGGTCACTTCCAGGAGTATGGGTGAGGGGTCACTTACAGGAGCAGAAATGACTCAAAGACAGCTGCGTCACCAAGGCCCACCCTAGCACGGGTGACAGCTCACAAAGCTGGGAACCTGGAGCTCGCCACACAGCCTGCAGGCTGCTCAGCAGGTTGGGGATTGTCCTCCCCAGTGACTCTGGTCGGAAGTCTTCCAGGCAGCTGATCTGGTCTCAGGGTTTTTGCAGCTTTTCTCCTGAGAGTTTTCTTTGGAGTTCAGCTTCACTTTGTGTGAGAGGGACTCTCAGCTTTTATTGCTGACTCTGGCAGAGAGGGGCCTAGTGAGTCTGGCCAGGTTCAGGGGCTTCCTGAACCTATTTTGTGTTGTTTACCTTCCTGCTTAAGGAGCTTCCTGCAGGATGGAAAAGTTTTAATCTCAGAGGAAACTGTTACACAGCAGTGCCTGCCATGTCTGGGTGGCCTGGCTCACTTCACATGGTGTCTTCAAGGCGCCCACGTGGCCCTGAGCATCAGGACCCCATTTGTTTTTCCTGTGTGAACACACCAGTGGCTTGTTCCTCCGTTCCTCACTTGGAGGCCTGTTGGGTTGGAGGCTTTGTTTGTAGGTTACTTCCATCCCTTCATAGTGGTTATTTGTCACACTGTTATTTGTCAGCCCACTGTCACGACCCCTCAGCCATTCCTGGTGGCTTTTTTTTTTTTTTTTGGTTTTTCCGAGACAGGGTTTCTCTGTGTAGCTTTGCGCCTTTCCTGGAACTCACTTGGTAGCCCAGGCTGGCCTCGAACTCACAGAGATCCGCCTGGCTCTGCCTCCCGAGTGCTGGGATTAAAGGCGTGCGCCACCACCGCCCGGCCCTGGTGGCTTTTTACATCATCTCATGGGTGCATGTGTGATAGCTGGGAACACTTCGAGATCTGAGTCTCTTCACTTCCTTCCTGGGATCAGGGGGACTTGGTGGAGCTGTGGTCACCTAGCTCATGGATTTCTAGGGAGGCGAAGGAGTTCCTCTGTGTGGGTTCTCCAGAATCACAGCAGAGGCCACAGCCAAGGCACCACTCAGCCCGTGGGAGTCTGACCCACAGCACCACCTCATCGCTCCACGGGAGTCTCCCTCTGAGCTCTCCCTTCCAGGCCCCTTGTTTTGGTGAGCTTATTTTATGACCCCCATGCCTAAGTCCTCTTTTGAAAGATCCGGGGCTCTTTTGGCAGCCTGGTGGCATCCTGACTCTATCTCCATCTTCCTGCCTCATTGGTGTTCCCAAAGTTCTGTATGACCTAAATGAGTTTTAAGATAGACCTAGAGTGGGCTGACAAGATGTAAACACCAGACTCGGGAAGGAGCCCTGCGGCTTCCCAGCAGCCTGCCTAGCATAATTGGTAAGCTCCAGGCAAATGAGCAACCCTGTCTCAGAAAAACAAGATGAAATGATGGAGAGCGTCTGAGCAACTGAGGTTGTCCTCTAGTGTCCACGTGCGTGCAAACACACACACACACACACACACACACACACACACACACACAAATACACACACACATCCATTTGTGCATGCATACGTGTGTGCACACTGAAGTTGTCCTCTAGTCTCTACATGCATGCAAACACACACACACACACACACACACACACACACACGTGTGCACACTGAAGTCCTCTAGTCTCCACATGCATGCAAACACATGCATTTGTGCATACACACACATGCCCACATGTGCACACACACTAGCAAACACCCACATGGACACACACACACATGATAGGGCCAACCCGCTTTGCTGGGAAGTGACTTTAACCTTGGATGGCTGAGGCCTACCCCAGGCCAGTTACTCCAGACTCTGAAGCGACGCCTTCATTGGTGTTTTCCTGAATCCCCAGATAATTCTTCCCTGCATGCAGGTTAAAAACCACTATGTTAGCTCCACTCGGGCCCTCATCAAAGACACATTTTTCTCCCACCTAGCCTTTGGAATGCAATCAAGAGCTAGGTCAAGAATTAGTCTCAGGTTGGCTTTGTATTTGCTACAGAACTCTCTGGTCAAGTCCCTGTTCCTTTCTCAGTTTCAGTAAAACAGGGCTTGATGAACTGGAGAGATGACTCGGTGGTTAAGAGCCCTGGCTGCTCTTCCAGAGGTCCCAGGTTCAATTCCCAGCTCACAGCCGTCTGTAACTCCAGATCCAGGAAATCCAATGCCCTCTTCCGGCTTCTACAGGCACTGCACGCATGTGATGCACAAACATACACACAGGCAAAACACTCCTGTACATAAAATAAAAATATGCGAACAAACAAGTCTTGTTTTTTGTAAGTGGCCTGCCTACAGTGATGGGGAGTTGGCATATCTAAAACCCCTGGGGAGCATTTTCAGAAATCCAAGTGGGCAGCCCAACTCAGAAAGTTGAGAACAACCCAAGTGTGGTTTCAAAAGCTGGTGGCATGAATCATCCCTCTCTCGGGAGGAAGTGTTCAATGGAATCATGCGTCTAATTGAATGACTTCTTTAAACAACAAGAAACTTCAGCACTGATGATTGTAGCATTTCCTTAAATTCCCCACCGTGGGGCTTGTGCCGTTTTGCACCCCTGCCAGCAATAAATGAGCCTCCTTGTTTAGCTGGAGCCTCACCAATAGGTCGTATTGTTAGGTGGCTTGGCGCATTGCCAATCTGGTCATTGAGAAGTGGCACCTCGGTGTAGCTTCCTTTGAGTGTCTCCATCCTGAGTGGGGCCAAGCATCTCTCCAGGTTAAGATGGATTTGCCTTTCTTCTGTAAACTTTCCCCCACCCTGAACTGGGGCTGGAACCTAGAGCCCCATGCACACTGAGCAAGCTCTCTCCCACTGAACAGCATCCCCCAGTCTTTCTTCTGTCGTTTCTTTTAATGAGACGAGGTCTTAATCTGTGGCACAGACAGGCCTTGAATTTATGATTCTCCGGTCTCAAGCTCCTGAGTAACTGGGAGTAACTGGATTTATAGGCCTGCCCCCCTGGGCCTGACTTCTTGTGCTTTTTCTTATATTCCTAACCCATTTTCCCATTGCAGATATTTTCACCAATTCATTGTTTATTTCTTAACTGTGTGTGTGTGTGTTTCTAAAGATGGAACCCAGGGCTTGGAACACATGGGGCCTGTTTTCTAGCACTGAGCTGTGCTGGGACCGAGATGGTTTGTTCTCCTTTGTTTTGTTTTTATCTGGGTAGTATTTCCTGTGTAATCAAATGTATTGATCCCCCTCCTCCGAAGCTTCTGGGTTTTTTGAACCTTTGCTTGTTTGTCTCTCACCATCACTTTTGAGTCTCCTGTGCTGTTTCTACTTCTGCACCCACATTTTGTTCATTAGTATTCATTCTGTGTCCAAGGTCCTGTGAAATGTCACTTCCTGCGAGGTGGAGCTTTGCATGCAGAGTTTTAGGGAAGATCCCCTTAGGCTGTGACAGGGAGTGAGGCAGAAATAGAAACTGAATCACTTGGATGGCAACAGCTCGAGCTAGTGGCCCTTTATGGCTGAGGCATGGGGCCTGGGCTCCACCCAGGGAGCGCACTTAAGATGCTCCCCTTAGCCAGTGAGCACCACCAAGAACAGTCCTAGGTTTGGAGGTCTTTCCTGGGAGAAGGAACATCTCAGTCCCGAAGCGGGGGGCCACAGCATCCTTTTGGTATTTCGTTTGTCTAGTTCAGTGTCGTGTTCTCTGCACTTTGAGGTGTTCTCAGGAAATCTCTGATGAGTGAATGAAAGACAAGTGTCAGCCATGAAAACACACGCAAGTGACATCTGGAGCGAGCGTCAGCCATGAAAACATACATCCAAGTGACATCTGGAGTGAGCCGTTGTATTTATATATTTAGGAACACACACATATGCAGCAACACTTTAAGAAAGAGGCCATGAATTTGAATGAGGGGGAGGTATATGAGAGGGATTGGAGGGAAGGAAGGGAGAAAATGATATAATTATGTTTTAATCTGCGGGGGGGGGGGGGAGCCCAAAAGAGCCCAAATTCCAATTTCCAGCCAACAGGATGGCGACGGCACAGGTGGGTGCAGGGGGGAGGAGCCATGGGCAAGGCATCTGGTTATTTCCTCTAGTCTGCCTGCCCTGTGCCGCTCAGTCAGTGACCCCCCCCAGCTCAGCCGTGGGTGCTGGCCGACACACGCAGGCTGGGCTGGGGCCGTCAGTGTGAATCTGTTGTGGGAGCCCTCTTTGGACACGCATCGTCTTTGTGATCTTTCAGTTTGGTTCTTCTTTCCCTTCAGCATTCCTTGAAGAAAAGAGGAACCCGATCTCTGGGGAAGACAGACAAGAAGCCCACTGCACAGGTACTTCCTCAGCACCCCTCACACACCCTGTGTGGAGTTTGGAAGACCAGGCCAACTCGAAGTGTCCTGGGACGTCCCCAGAGGTCCCCATCCCTCCCCCGTGTCTCTCCTGTACACTTCCTTCCCTGTGCATGTTCTCAACTCCACTATAACTTTACTTTCTCCAAGCCCACTCTGAGCCCATCCTTAGACTCTCCGGGACCCACACGTTGCTTACACAGCATAGGGATGACTAAACCCAGGGTTCAGGGTCAGAGGCCCTTGGACTCTGCGGCTTGATTGCCATCCGACTGAGATGCATCACTTCAACTTTCTGGTCCATTTCCTCATCTATTCCTATTATGTGGGTTTGTTGTAAGAATTAGATAAAAACACCACATTTTGCACAGGCCGGGCACATCCTGTTAGCAGCCAGGGTGCCAGGCACTTTTTGTACATTTTCCCATTTAACAGTCATTGTGTGAGAGAGGAATGTTTCTGTCCCCTTTTACAGATGGAGCAGTTGCCATAGTCAGTCAGAATGTCACCGGCTCCAAGACTCCGAGATTGTAGGCAGTGTGCCCTGGTCTCTCAATATCAATGTCCCTGCTCTGCTTCCTGTGGCCTCCAGGCCTGGAGAGCCGGGCTGATTCACCCCTGTGTTCTCAGACATAGTCAGTGCACTCCAGAATGCTGTGGCTAGCTCCAAGCTGTCAATAACCTTCCTTATTGCTATCTGTCTCCGTACCCCTTGGGCCGCAGGAGGACAGCGCAGACCTGAAATGCCAGCTGCATTTTGCAAAGGAGGAGTCCGCTCTCATGTGCAAGAAGCTCACCAAGCTAGCCAAGGAGAACGACAGCATGAAGGAGGAGCTGCTCAAGTACCGCTCCTTGTATGGGGATCTGGACGCAGCCCTGTCCGCGGAGGAGCTGGCGGATGCTCCGCACTCCCGCGAGACAGAGCTGAAGGTGCACCTGAAGCTGGTGGAGGAGGAGGCCAACTTGCTGAGTCGGCGCATCGTGGAGCTGGAGGTGGAGAACCGGGGCCTCCGGGCCGAGATGGACGACATGAAGGACCACGGGGGTGGCGGGGGCCCTGAGGCCCGGTTGGCCTTCTCTGCTCTGGGTGGTGAATGCGGGGAGAGCCTGGCTGAGTTGCGGCGCCACCTGCAGTTCGTGGAAGAGGAGGCTGAGCTGCTGCGGCGCTCTTCCGCTGAGCTGGAGGACCAGAACAAGTTGCTGCTGAATGAGCTGGCCAAATACCGCTCGGAGCACGAGCTGGATGTGACTCTGTCAGAGGACAGCTGCTCGGTGCTCAGCGAGCCCTCGCAGGAGGAGCTCGCGGCCGCCAAACTGCAGATCGGCGAGCTCAGCGGCAAGGTCAAGAAGCTGCAGTATGAGAACCGCGTGCTCCTCTCCAACCTGCAGCGCTGCGACCTGGCCTCTTGCCAGAGCACGCGCCCCATGCTGGAGACGGACGCCGAGGCTGGGGACTCTGCACAGTGTGTGCCCGCTCCTCTGGGCGAGGCGCTGGAGCCCCACACTGCCCGGCTCTGCAGGGCCCGTGAGGCCGAGGCGCTGCCCGGGCTGCGGGAGCAGGCCGCCCTGGTCAGCAAGGCCATCGACGTCCTGGTGGCTGATGCCAATGGCTTCTCGGTTGGCCTCCGGCTGTGCCTGGACAATGAGTGTGCAGACTTGCGGTTGCACGAGGCACCTGATAACAGTGAGGGACCCAGGGATGCCAAGCTCATCCATGCCATCCTGGTGCGCCTGAGCGTGCTGCAGCAGGAACTGAACACTTTCACACGCAAGGTGGATGTGGCCTTGGGTAGCTCTGGCAAGGAGCCACCTGAGCCCTTCCCTCCGCTACCCGCCTTGGGCTCCCAGGGGTCCTCTAAGGAGATCATGCTGGCCAAAGACCTTGGCTCTGACTTCCAGGTAAGATGCCCAGGCCAGGGTCCTGTTACTTTTATTACACACAAACTTTGTGCTGGGCCAGGCACACGACAGAGGAGGACACAAGTCCATGTGTACAAACAACTCTACGAGTGTCCTGCAGTCAACAGTCATGTGATCATCATCCAGAACATGGCCAGTCAGTCCCAAGGCTGCCCTGCTCAGTCTCCCTGCTAGCCACTATCCCTGCTCCTCAGGACAACCTCCTGATTTTATCCATCTTTGAGCTTTATATAAATGGAATTATACAAACCGAACACAGCAGTACCTGGCTTTGTTCACTTGGCCTGCTAATTTGCTGTTACAGGTAGTAAAAATGTATTTATTCCAACTTACTAAGTATAAGTCTGTTGACTCAGTGAATTGCCCAGCATGCATTTACTATGGATGGAGGTTGATTCTGAGGTCCTATCTTTTTGCTAGATTACTTTTTTCCCTTCCTCCCTCTCCCCTGCCCTCCCCTCTCCTTAGTGCTGGGGACAGAACCCAGGGCCTCATACATGCTAGGCAAGTACTCTACCGTTGAGCCACATCCCTGGCCCCTTCCTTTTAAAAGACTTTTGAAAATGTACGTGTGTGTGCATATGTGTATATGTATGCCCCCTGTATATGGGTCCACAGAAGCCAGAGGAAGGTGGTTGTGAGCGCCTTGATATGGGTACTAGGAACTGACCTTGGGTCCTCCTGAAGAGCATCAAGAGCTCTTAGCCATTGAGCCATTTCTCCAGGGCAGCCACCCCACCCCTTCTTTTCTTGTCTCTTTTGTAACTAAAATCTTTATTACACTTATTTTCTTGGGGGGTCAGGGGGAGCCACTGTGGACATGCAGTGGTCACAGGAGTCAGTTCTCAGATGGTCCTGCAGATCTACTCAAGTTGTCAGCCTTGGTAGCAAGGACCTTTACCCACTAAGCTATTTTGCCAGCCCATAATTTTAAATTTTAAAGCAAATGTTTGTGGTTTTTAAATCATTTTGATGAGTTTTTGAGAAGCTTAGTCTTAATACCCAGGATATGCTACCTAGAAAAACTAAAACGGCAAAAATGTCCACACTTTGCAAAGTATTCTTGCAAAAGCAACACATAAACATTGGAAGCAAAGACAAAATTAAGTGAACACCTTGTGTCCCTGCTTACCACTTCGTGCCAATACCTCTGTAGGTGGTCTTGATTGGTGATATTCAATACAGTCACATGTAGCAGCCATGTGGGAATTTGGCTCAGTGGTAAGGCACTTGCCTTAGCAGGCTGCACAGGCTTCATCTCCAGGACAGAATAGAAACAAAACAAAATTTAAAAATTAAATGAATAAAAACGACATAGGATTGGGCTGAGGTTTCTTGGGTGCAGTTACTCATTTAGATGTTTGTGTCTTGTTGCATCCTGGAAGCAGCCTTCTAAACCTCCATATGCCCTCCCCTGCGCTTCTTTTTCACTCCTTTGGCTTTGTTGGACAGCATCTTCTTCATGGATGATATTCCCAGTCTATTTGCTGGATACTTTGTTGCTGGTCCCTACCCTTTGTATTCCTGGATAGCGTGTCTTCCTCATGCACTGTATTACCGGTCCATTTGCTGGATACTTTGTTGCTTGTCCCTACCCTTTGGCTCAGCACAGGATAGGTGGTAGTCTGTAGAACCAGATAGCAATAGGATTCCCACTCCAAAGGTCCTTATTGCCTAGTGAGGAAGAATTAATTAACATGGCAAGCCTGTGACTATGATATGACAAACAGAAGAGGGACCTGAAAGAAAGATACATAGTTTCTATCAACAAGGAACTTGTCCTAGATCTTGAAGAGGCTCAGCTCATAGAGAAGGAACATGGTAGGGTCAAGGAACTGTGCAGAGCGGTGAGGCTGGGCTGCAGAGCATGGGGTGGTTTGGTTTTCATCCTGAGAGCAGATTTCCATGCATGGCACTGCACAGTACTATAGCAGCTTCAACTCATGCTTTGCTGCTGTGGCTTGAGATGGCTTCTTAAACAAGTGGACAGCCCCATGTCGAGTCCCCTCCTTGTTTCATCCTGAAGAGTGAGCTGGGATCACACAGGTGGTAGAGCAGTGGAACTGTTTCAGAGGGCTTTGCATAACAGCCATTCACAAAAATAGTGTTTTCACGTGCCTACTCATTCATCTTTGCCACTCATTCATCTTTGCAACAAGCAGTCATTGCGTGGTGGCAATGCTCCCTGGTAAGGCTGGGCCCAGGGTGCAAGGTTGATTCACCTGGGCCTCGCTCTCATGTGGACAAACCCTTTTATGGAGCTGAGACCTGGTGGGGACCTTTTGTAGTGTTCCTCGGGCCTCTCCCCATGGCTGTCTTCTGCTTGTGCCCCTCACTTTAGCCATCTGACTTCAGAGATCTGCTGGAATGGGAGCCTAGGATCCGAGAGGCCTTCCGTGCTGGTGACTTGGACTCCAAGCCTGACCCTAGTCGGAACTTCAGGCCTTATCGAGCTGAAGATAATGATTCCTATGCCTCTGAGGTGGGTCGAGGCCTAAGCTGGAGGTTGGGTTGAAGGAGATTGTCTGGGGCCTCTCAAAACCAGGGTGACCCTTGGAGGGTGATGGTATGGGCTTTGAGCATTCTGTTTGGTTTTAAGCTTCCTGACAACCGGGGGGTCGGGGGGAGAATTTGAATCAATCCCATGTCTAGTTAGAGAAAGCTTAGCTGGACATGGTATGTACCTGTAATGCCAGTGTTAGGATGCTGAACTGGAGGCCATCATAAAATGTCTAATGTGCATACCAGAGAGGCAATGGTGTAGCTGGAAGTTTCTCCTGCCTGTACCACCCGCCCCCACGCCCCACCCCACATGCTATGGGACGAATCTCTCCCACCCGCGTCCTGCAGCTGATTGGTCCTAAGTAAACACACAGAGGCTTATATTAATTACCAATTGCATGGCCTATGACAGGCTTCTTGCTAGCTAGCTCTTTTATCTTAAATTAGCCCATTTCTATTAATGTATGTTTTGCCGTGTGTTCTGTGGCTTTACCAGTCTGCTGGCATGTTGCTCCTTGGGTGGCAGGCTCGAGTCTCTCCAGACTCCTCTTTTCTCTCTCCTTGGATTTCCTGCCTGTCTCTAAGCTGCCTTGCCATAGGCCGAAGCAGCTTATTTATTAACCAATGGGAACAACATGTATTCACAGCATACAGAAAGACATCCCCCAGCACAATGGTCTCTCTGGCTGAGTTCAGGTTGTGAATCTCTTGTGTGCTGGCTCTGAGATCTTGGATATGTCACTTTGCTTCTTATTTGTAGGGTTTGTGACCTTAAGAACAGAGCCCCTCATAGGGTTGTTGACAGGGGTAGATACGTGAAAAGCTTTAGCTTAAGGCCTGGCCTCTATGGGTGAGGATAAGGACAGTGTCCATGACATGTCACTTGGACTCAGGGGACCTGAGTGAAATATCACTCTGATGGTCTGGTGGTATGACCTTGGATACACTCACATCCTGTGGCCCCAGCTTTCCCACCCACAACATTGATGATCATTAGAATTTCTAAAGTTCTCTGGTCTTTGAAAAGTTCCCTGTCCCCTTGAGCCTGGGATGCTCCCTGGAAACTGAGGCAGTCTGGACATTCTAGTCGGGGAAGGGGGAAAAAGGAAAAACAGTGTCTGGTGTGTAACTGAGCTGTAGCCCTGTGCACTTAGCATGCGGAAGACCTTAGCTTTGATCCCCAGTGGGGAGATGGACAGACAGATAGAGAAGGGCAAGGAGAGAGAAGGAAGAAGAAAACCCCTGAGATGCTTAGATCTCATTTTCTGAGAAGAAATGAGCTTGTTTGTGTGAGCTCGTTTACACATTTAATCGGTTTCATTCATCCTTCCTGAGCAGTTACGATTGAAACATGGCACCAACCCTGAGTTCAAGGAGGATGTGTGAGGGTAGCAGCCTGACTTCTTCTAAAGAGTTGTTGGTTTGCTGAGCCAGGGTCTCAGGATGTAGACCACATTTACCTCAAACTTACCATCTTCCTGCCTCCAACTTCTTAGTGCTGGGATTACAGGCACACGACACTTTGCCCAGCTCTGCAGAGATTTTTAATACAGAACAGGTGTACAAGACATGCCTCAAATCATTGCAGAGACAGTGCCAAGTTGTCATATTATTGGCCACATAATTTTTTCTCACAGCAGGACACCTGCCATGCCTGGGACCGTTTCCACGTCCCTCTTCCTGCACAGTGTGTTAGAATAAACATTCCCGTTACCAGAAATACTCAATGCTTTTCTCTTTTTTTGAGATGGAGTCTCACTGTGTTGCTCAGGCTGGTCTCAAACTCACTGGCTCAGGTGACCCTCCTGCCTCATGCACCACTTCATTTCGTCTGGCTAAAACTTTTGTGACTGGAGTAAACAACGGAGTACCAATGGGGCGGGGCTACAGCTCAGTGATGAAGCACTTGCTTAGCATGTGTGGGGCTTTGGGTCCAATCCCCGGCATCAACACACGCGCACACAGATAGGGAAGGGAGAGAGAGGGAGAAGGGAAGACGAACAGGTGCGTGCGGCTTTTCACAAACTGAACACCTTGTTCCCCTGTGGTGCCCTGTGACAGGGTCTTGCCATGTAGCCCATGCTGGCCTCAAGCTCAAGATCTTCCTGTTTTGTAAATTAGCCTCTAGATCCACCAGCAGATTCTAGAAATTTCCTTCTGTGTGCCCTTCTAGTCTCTAGCTGGACTTACAAAAGAACAGGTTTTAAAACACTTTTTACATTTATTTATTTAGTGTGTGGGTGTGTGCACATTGAGCTGCAGCATGCACGTATAGTCAGAGGACAACTTGTAGGAGTTGGTTCTCTCCTCCCACCACGTGGGTCCCGGGAATCAAACTCAGGTCCTGATGCTTGTCTGCAAGAGCCTTTATTGGCTGAGCCATCCTCCGGGGCCAAGGACACATCAACTTTGCCTATTTAGTTCTAAATGCTTTTAAAACACCAGTTCCCCCAGAAATTGGAGAATTTGGTTAACTTTTTTTTTTTTAAAGATTTTTATTTTTTATTTATACAATGTTCTGCCTGCATGTATGCCTGCAAGCCAGAAGAGGGCACCAGATCTCATTACAGATGGTTGTGAGCTACCATGTGGTTGCTGGGAATTGAACTCAGGACCTCTGGAAGAGCAGTCAGTGCTCTTAACCTCTGAGCCATCTCTCCAGCCCAACTTTTTTTTTTTAATGATCTTGTTCCATGGTCATTATAAGCCACAATAAGTACAATTAGACCCCTAAGCAGCATTACATGAAGATACAAAGAAAGTTAAGATCATTAAGTAGTTAACCATGTTGATAGTTAATGTGTTTCTGTTATGTAATAATACACAAAGACTGTCTGTAAGTGTACAGCTGAATGGATTTTACATATATAGACCCATTAAATACATTTTAGATTTCATTATTTATTATTTAAATTGCTTCTAAATTTTTTATATTAATTAAATTTATTCATTTATTTCACATCCAGACCACAGTTTCCCCTCCCTCCTGTCCTTCCATTTCCTCCCCCACCTCCCCTCCACCACCACTTCTCTGTTTCTGTTCAGAAAGGGTCAGGCCTCCCGTGGGTGTCAACAAAGCATGGCATATCAAGTTGAGGCAGGACCAAGCTCCTCCCCTTGTATTAAGGCTGGGCAAGGCAACCCAGTATGAGGAATAGGTTCCCAAAGGCCAGCCAAAGCATTGGAGACAGTCCCTGCACCCATTACTAGGAGTCCCGTAAGTAGACCAAGCTACACAACTGTCACACACACACACACACACACACACACACACACACACGCGCGCGCGCGCGCAAAAGGCCTAGGTCAGTCCCATGTAGGCTCCCTAACTGTCCATCCAGAGTCTGTGAGCTCCTATGAGCCCAGATTAATTGTTTCTGTGGGTTCTCTTGTGATGTCCTTGACCACCCCCCACACACACACACACACCCCGGCTCATACAATCCTTCCTCCTTCTCTTCAGCAGGATTCCCTGAGCTTGGCCCAATGCTTGGCTGTGGGTGTCTGTATCTGTGTCCATTGATTACTGGATGAAGGCTCTCTGATGACAATTGGCATAGTCACCGATCTATGAGTATATATATTGTTAGGCAGAATACTGTTAGGCATCACTATGTTGACTTTTTTTCTCCAATCGTGTATGGAAAGATCTCCCCATGCTTATGAATCAGTAGGATTAACATAGTAAAATGGCCATCTTACCAAAAGCAATCCACAAATTCAGTGCAATCCCCATTAGAATTCCAGCACAATTCTTTACAGACCTTGAAAGAGCAATATTGAACTTCATATGGAAAAACAAAAAACTCGGGGTAGCCAAAACAATCCTGAACTTCCGAAGCTATCACCATCCCTGATCTCAAGCGCTACTACAGAGCTGTAGTATGGTAGTGGCATAAAAACAGACAGGTGGATCAATGGAATCCAAGACCCCGATGTAAATCCACACACCTATGGGCACCTGATTGTTGACAAAGAGACCTCTAAACCTTTAATTATAAACAATGAAATTGCCTGTGGTGGCAGTTCCTACAGCCCCAGCTACTTGGGAGGCTGAAGCAGGGGGATACCTTGAGCTCAGGAGTTTGAGACCAGCCTGTGAAAAATACTGAGGCCGAGTCAAAAATAAGTAAATCAAGCGATTAAAGAGACTATGAACAACTTCGTGAATCAACTTTAGTTTTCACGGTATATTTTTTCTGCAAATACATTTGCAAGAGAGAAATGTTAAAAATTATTCTGTGGAGGGTTTGACATGGACTGTTTCATTTAACGATCACGATGACTCTGAGGCAAGGAGCCCGGATCCAGCTTACTGTTGGTTCTCTGCTCCTGCCGTTCTTTGACCACAGCCTGTGTCCTCTCTTCATTCTTGTATGGCCCCCGCCCCACTGCAGATCAAAGAGCTTCAGCTGGTTCTGGCCGAGGCCCACGACAGCCTCCGGGGCTTGCAAGAGCAGCTGTCCCAGGAGCGGCAGCTCCGGAAGGAGGAGGCAGACAGCTTCAACCAGAAAGTGGTCCAGGTGGGTTTGTACCACATTTTTAACCTGCTACAACTTCTCCCAGGACTGAAGATGCAGAGGCCATGGTGTAATTCTGTGGCAGAGCGCTTGCCCAGCGTGTGGGAGGCTCAGGATTCTGTCCCTGGCAGAAGAAATAAAACACTACTAAAAGCAGGGCCCTCAGAAGGGGATAACATGAGGGGAAGCACCCCTGGTGCCCTGCCAGTGCTTATTCAAATCTTAGATGGTCTTTTAATAAAAAACCCAGAGCCAGATATCAGGATGAAAGCTGACAAATCAGAGAAACAGAGCAGCAGCCACTAGTTCTTACCTGTCCAAAATCCTCAGCCTAAAGAGAGTGAGTTCCTGTTTCCTCACGCCTTATCTACCTTCCTCTGCCCAGACATCACTTCCTGGGATTAAAGGCGTGTGTGCTTCCCAAGCAAAGGCATGAGATCTCAAATGCTGGCATTAAAGGTGTGTGCCACCACTGCCTGGCACTGTGTCTAATCTAGTGGCTGGTTCTGTCCTCTGATCCTCAGGCAAGTTTATTAGGGTACACAATATATCACCACATGCCAGGGTGTCACCGAGCTTGTGATTGTTAGCTCTAGACTGGGCTGGGACCTCTGCCCATGATATTGGCTGCCTAGATGACACTGGCCTGTTTAATCTCTTTGGATTTTGCTCTGTTTTGTTTGAGACAGTGTCTCTCTCTGTTGTTGGTTGTTTTGTACTCTTTCAATCTTTTGGGAGCCTACCACCAGCTCCCACATAAATCACACACAGAGTCTTAATCTTTCTTATGAATGCCCAGCCTTAGCTTGGCTTGTTTCTAGCCAGCTTGCCTTAATTTAAATTATCCATCTACCTTTTGCCTCTGGGCATTTACCTTTCTCTATTTCTGTATACCTTTCTTTACTTCTTACTCCATGGCTTGCTGTGTAGCAGAGTGACTGGCCCCTGGAGTCCCCTCTTCTTCCTTTCTCGTTCCTTAATCTCCAGTTTCTCTCATTTTCTCCTTTTCTCTCTGCCTGCCAGCCCCGCCTATCCTTTCTCCTGCCTTGCTATGGCTGTTCAGCTCTTTATTAGACCAATCAGGTATTTTAGACAGGCACAGTAACACAGCTTCACAGAATTAAACACATGCATCATAAAAGAATGCAATACATCTTTGCATCATTAAACAAATGTTCCACAGCATTAAAATAATATTCTACAACATCTCTCTCTATGTAGCCCTGGCTGTCCACTCAATATGTAGAGTGGGCTGATTCGAACTCACAGAGATCCACCTGCCTCTGTCTCCCAAGTGCTGGGAAAGGTGTGTGCCACCATGACTCCCTGTTTCATCTCTTTAAAAAAAAATTTAAGATTTTTTTATTTTTAATTACACATAGATATGTGTGGATAATGTGCATGTCAGTGCAGGTGTCTGTGGAGCTGCCTGATGTGGGTTCTGGGAACTGAAACCTATCGTGGACCTTGTTAGACCAGCTCCCACGATGGGCTCAGGGTAATGAAAGGAATGCCTCAGAGTATCGAGCGGTAGGGAACTTTTATCTGAGGGTAATTCGGAACAAGTTTTAGTCTATCTATCACATTTTATTCATTCATTCTTTCACCCATTCACTTCCTCACACTTCTCTCATGCTTCTTCATCTCTCACCCAACACACACACACACACACACACACACACACACACACACACACACACACTTCACTCACATTCTGTAGCAGCTCTTGTGTCGAAATGTCGCAGCACGGGTGTGTGGGTTCACATGAATCCATGGAAAGAAGGCTCAGAGGCACCTTAAGAATGAATTTAGGCGGATCTTTGTGAGTTCGAGGTCAGCCTGGTCTACAGAGTGAGATCCAGGAAAGGCACAAAGCTACACAGAGAAACCCTGTCTCGAAAAACAAACAGACAAAAAACAAAAAACAAAACAAAACAAAAAAAAAAAAAAAAGAATGAATTTAGCCTTCGAGGCTGCAGGGGAATCCAGCCTCTCTGGATTCAAGACTCTAGGGACTGACCCCTTTCCCTTCACCCTGGGCATTTTTATATCTCTCAATATTTACAGTTTAGCCAGTTGATTTCCATATGCTCAAAACAACCTAAAAGGAGCTCCCAACAATACAATGCCAAGTGCAAATTCCTCGATTTCTCAGGTACCACAGTGTGCCGAGTTTCCTGAACCAAGTTTTGCATAGGCCTTGTATCCTTAGGAGGCTCTGAGACAAGATTCACATAGGACAAACAAAAGGTATCAGTTAAACAAAAGATGGACTAGGGCTAGGTGCTGCTCTCTGGAGCCACTCCTGGGGAGCTCAGCAGGGATGCAGCCACAAGCTCTCACATAGCTCTACACAGCCAATAAACAATTGGCTGAGCCTTGAGTGGTCAGGGCCCATGCAGAAAGGGAACTACTGCAAGAAAGGACTGTGTCTTGATGTAAACAGCCTGGCCTCGACTTAGCAATAAACAACACCTGGGAATTAGTCTTTGCATATATTCTGTGGGGGCAGCTAGTCTATATTGGACTTGTTCTAAGGTCTTTGCAAAATGTATGAAAGGCTGTCTTTGAGACTGAGAATACTGCTACTTTCCTGTGTCAGTAAAGAAGAATATTCTGGTAATATTTCTGTTTATCAGAATTATAGAGCTTAAACAGAAATCCAGAGCTGACTGTGTGCCCAGAGATATAAAACACACTACCAAAGGGCCTTGGAAAGCACCCCACAGGGAGGTATAATGGTGGCACATGAGAAAGCTACAGACAGAAAGCAACCGGTTTCCACAGCCAGTGACCCCATGGCCTTGCCAGGTAGGGCTCCCCATCAGAGAGTTATACATCTGGTGGGTCGACTTGTCAAACATCAGTTGTCACCTGCTGTATACTCCCATGGCGCTCAGCAGAAACCGGGTCCTTGGGAAGAACAGCCAGTGCTTTTAACCACTGAGCCATCTCTCCAGCCCGTTTCAACTCTTGGCCTCAGTTTCCTGTTTTTGAAATGGTGCTCCTCTCAAACCTGGCTGTGGGTCAATTTGATAGTTCGATAATAGCATTTATTAATGGTGAGAAGGGTAAAGACACTAGTCATCAATCCTTACAACTTAAGTTCGATCTCCAGGACCCATACAGTGAGAGAGAACTAACCTCTCTAGTCCTCTGACCCCCGTACACGTGCCAAGGCACCTGTGCCCACCGGTATACATACAAAATAAGGAATAATAATACATAATAAGGAAATGGAGAGAGAGAGAGAGAGAGAGAGAAAGAGAGAGAGAGAGAGAGAGAGAGAGAGAGAGAGAGAGAGAGAGAGAGAGAGAGAGAGAGAAGCAGACCTTCCTGAGTGGCCCGTGTAACACATGCCCCACATATTATATCCTGTAATCCTCATACTCTTCCCTATGAGGTCCCCCACTTTACCGATCTGGAAGCTGCTGCAGTGACGGTGCAGGGTAGGACGTGCTGCAGAGGCAGAAGGATTACAGATTGGGAAACAGAGCTCACAGAGCAGACGTGCTTCGCTGAGAGCTGTACATCCCGGGCCTTTGGCTCCCTTAGCCGTGACCCAGGGTTGCTCCTTAGGATAGTTCATGTTTCTCAGCCTTCCTTGACCCCAGCATACCTCTGCGGGTATCTCTCTGCGGTCCCCACTTACCGTCATAGTTCCCAGACCAGTGTGAGCACATGGGAGGCATCTGACGCCCGGTAGGTGCTCAGTCACGGTGGCCAGAGGTCATTCCTCAATGTTTTGAGTCAGGATCCCTCCCTGACACCCGGGGCTCACTGATGACAGGAGGCGGGCTGGCTGAGCTCTTGTATGTGCCTTCTGGATGAACTAACGTCCTTATGCTTGTGTGGCAGGCACTGTACTGACAGTTCTCTCTCCAGCCCACTGGGCTGCTTTGAGTAGAAGCCCTGGCAGGGGTCCACCAGCAGGCACTTGCCATTAGTGTCCCCCCCTCTGCCTTTGATCTGGATCTGGAATCAACTGGGTCCCTCCCTTGCTCACGCCTGTCCTGGCAGCTAAAAGAAGACCAGCAGAGGGCGCTGCTGAGGCGGGAGTTCGAGCTGCAGAGTCTGAGCCTCCAAAGGAGGCTGGAGCAGAAATTCTGGAGCCAGGAGAAGAACATCCTGGTGCAGGAGTCCCAGCAGTTCAAGCACAACTTCCTGCTGCTCTTCATGAAGCTCAGGTGGTTCCTGAAGCGCTGGCGGCAGGGCAAGGTCCTGCCCCATGAGGAGGATGATTTCCTGGAGGTATGGCTGAGCTTAGTCCTAGCCCTGAGCGGGAAGAAGGGGGCGTGGGGCGTGAGTTCTGCTTCTCTCCCTGAGCAGTGCCGGGTTGGGGGTGGGTCACCGTTAAGGTGTGGGACGTCAGTGACAGGCTTTGGTTCCTCCTGAGCCGCTCATCCTTCCTGCATGGGCGGCTAGGCAGTGTCCCCACCCTCTGAAGGCTGAGGCTGTTGAATGCGGTTTCTCAAACCAGGTAAACAGCATGAAGGAACTGTACCTGCTCATGGAGGAAGAAGAGATGAACGCCCAACACTCGGATAACAAGGCCTGCACAGGGGACAGCTGGACCCAGAACACGGTGTGTTCAGCCCCTTCTGGTCCTACTCATGTGTACCTCATCTGTTAATGACCACTTCCGGCTGTCTTCCCACACAGCCCTGATGGGACACGGGAGCTGCAGATGGTTATTGGCTGGGAACCGGCCCCTCCAATTGCTCAGGGCTAGGGGGACGTGAGTCATCCGGGGTGGTGACAGAAGAACAGATGATCTGTGAAGTACAGGAAGGAGAGTAGTTAATTTGTTATGTTTGTAGGCAACAGTGTTACAGAGAAGGGGGTCATGTGTAGTGCGCTTCCATGGATGAATAGGGGCTTGCTAAATTCAGAAAGGAGAACAGACCATGTTGAACCAAGAGGACTGTGTGTACAGAGGTGTGGCAAGATGTGTTGGAGTAGCTGTGACCAGTGGGGGACATTGGGAGAGGGTAAGGATACCAGGCCAGGGTCACACGAAGAGAGGCCCTTATGGTCTAGAGTTAAGAACTGTCAAATCAAGCCACCGGTCAGAGGGAGCCACGGAGTCAGTCAGCCTCGAAGGGTTCTACCGTGAGCCGGGCTGTGGCTGAGCCGTGTGTAAGGAACCAGGAAAGGGGAGTACCGTTTGAGAGGCTCCATGGAGGCCTCAGCTCAGCGAGGCAAGAGAGCTGTAGCCTGGGGCCTGCAAAGCCTGGGGGAGGTTGTTTCTCTCCGCCTGGGCAGAACTGCTGCTCATGTGACAATCCATTGCGTGTGAGACGTGCTGCTCAGCCAGGCTACCCCGGGACTGGCCTTCCCCCCCATTCTACTGGAGAGGACCCGAGGTGGGTTCTCTGAGGCTGCCTTCACAGAGCTCTTGACCAGGCCTTCCCCTGTCTGCAGCCTAATGAGTACGTCAAGACCCTGGCCGACATGAAGGTCACGCTGAAGGAGCTGTGTTGGCTCCTGCGGGACGAACGTCGCGGTCTGACTGAGCTTCAGCAGCAGTTTGCGAAGGCTAAGGCCGCGTGGGAGACGGAGCGGGCAGAGCTCAAGGGCCACGCCTCACAAGTAAGCCTCCTTGCTTCTCAGGGGCGTCTCTCCCTTGTTCCCAGCCCAGATCTAGACCGTCAGATCGGGGAGGAGGGTCCTAAGCTGTGCTCTTGGGGTGCACAGGACCCCTTACACTTCACCTTGTGCCCCAGAGAGATGATAGAGAGATGATAGGCTGCACCGTGGGCTCTCAGAATGCTCCCACACCTGCCTGCATGCCACAGCCAACGTGGCTCTGGGCTAGACCTGGCTAGGATGTCAAGAGAATGAAGAAAAGACAGAGGGACACAAGGAGACACAGAAAGCTAGGATTGGGTGATCTGGGCTCTCTGCTGGAGAAACCACAATGCTCTGGTAGCTTAGCCTATTTATTATGTAGTCGGTTAGAGCAGAGAGACGCAGGCAGCGTTATTAATACAGATAAATAGGCAGGGGCTGAGTGATGGTGGCTCACGCCTTTAATCCCAGCACTCAGGAGGCAGAGGCAGGCGGATCTCTGTGAATTCAAGGCCAGCCTGGTCCACAGAGTGAGTTCCAGGATGCCCAGGGCTTTACAGAGACACACTGTCTTGAAAACCAAAAAAAAAAAAAAAAAAAAAAAAGAGAGAGTTGATAAATGGCATGGTTATCAGTAGCTGGGGGCTTTGCCTATTGTAGCCAGATGTGGAATGTTTATTTAGCCCCTTGGAGCCGCTCTGAGGGACGGGATGTAGCACTTGGCTTACAGAGGTTTAGGAAGAGAACATTAGTGCAGGGCCTGGCTCGTATGCAGAAAGGGGTCCACAGCTCTATTGAAGGGGGATCAGCATGGAGGGTCCCCAGGGCCTCCCTGGTATAGGTGTGGAGCCAGTGTCCCCTCCACTACCCAGCTGATGCTTCTTCCTGCAGATGGAGCTGAAGGCTGGGAAGGGTGCCAGCGAGAGGCCCGGGCCCGACTGGAAGGCTGCGCTGCAGCGGGAGCGGGAAGAACAGCAACACCTCCTGGCTGAGTCCTACAGCGCCGTCATGGAGCTGACGCGGCAGCTGCAGATCAGCGAGCGCCACTGGAGCCAGGAGAAGCTGCAGCTGGTGGAGCGGCTGCAGGGCGAGAAGCAGCAGGTGGAGCAGCAGGTGAAGGAGCTGCAGAACCGCCTCAGTCAGGTGAGGCTGCATCCAGGGGCTCAGGCGGCGAGAGAGCCCAGAGAGAGGCGTGAGAACCAGGCCTTTCCTCGGCCTCAGTCTTTCAGGCCCCTCGCCTGTGTTCACGCCACTCTTATGCATGCCAGCCTCGCATAAGGCCATCGTTTCCTGCTCATAGCTCACAGCTTAGCAGTTGCAATAAAAACTTTTTTCCCCCCCAAGTTCTCAGTGGCCGGGTGTCAGTCATGATAGACCCGTTATGAGGGCCTATCAAAACCGGGACCCATAAGTGATTGAAGGGCCGAGAGTGATTCCCATAGGAAAACTGGAGTCCTCTGGAGGAGGGAGACCAAGACCTACATACTACAGAAACCGTACTCCATCTGGCTCCCTCCCTTGGTGCTGTGTGGGTTTACGCCTGCGGAGGGTTTTCTGTTCCTGCATGCACACTTGCCTCTCCCGTGCAGAGCCTCAGGAGTGTAGCTGCTGCTTCACTCCACCATTCTTTATCCCACACAGACAAAATCCAGGCACCGTGTTTGCACTAGGGAGCCGGTGATGTCTCAGAGCACTTGCCTAGCATGCGTGGAACCCTGACTTGGATTCCCAGCACCATGGGAACCAAGCGTGGCGGCTCATGCCTGTAATCTTTTCAAAGGTAAAGGCAGGAGAGTTAGAGGTTCATGGTCATCATCCTCAGCTAGTTAGTGCGTTTGGAGCTAGCCTGGTTTACAAGGAACCCTGTCTCAAAACAACCAAACAAGCAGAAAGTAGCCCCCTAGTGAGATCTACACACGAGCGTGTGCACAGTATCACGATGCTACATTCAAGGGCACTCGAGTGTATAGTGATTGAAAAGCTGGTCTCAGAAGGGTTTTCCCTTGGCCTTCCAGCCCCATGTCGTGTTGTGTGCCCTCCCTCTCCCCCACACCTACCCCCCCGCCCCACCCACCCGCTGTAAGCGGAGCGTTATGCAGACCTGCTTTGCTTTTCCCTTGCCAGTTTCCAAGACTCCCCAATCTTTCAGTTCACCTGATGAGGGTGAGTTACCTTCCAAGAGTTAATAAATCTCTCCAAGAGTTACCTTCATTGTATGTCTTCTCAGAATGCAATCTCCAACCCCCTCAACCTTGGAAGGTCACTTTGCAGATGAGCAAAATGACCCAAAATGTCCTGTTTCTGACAGGACCGAAACATGGCAGAAACCTCACATCTGGCAGATTAAAAATAAAGATTATGTGGATGAGTTGTTTGCTTGCATGTATGTATATGTACCATGTACATACCTGATGCCCTCAGGCCAAAAAAGATTTCTTGGAACTGGAGTTACAGATGGTTGTGACGGCCACGTGGGTGCTGGGATCTGAGCCTGAGTCCTCTAGAAAAGCAGCAAGTCCTTTTAATGGCTGAGCCATCTCTCCAGCCCTAACATTTGGCGTGAACTGACCTCTTGCAAGGGACCAGGTTTTCTCTGGGGTCACACTCACTAGCTACAGAACATCGCATCTCGGGGGGTTACATTTCATTGGTGTCTATATGTGGCAAGTTCAGGCTGATACACCCACAAATTAAAGCACATTCCCTGGGACATGTGGAGCGCTGATCAGAGCACCCTTTTGCACCATCTGGCCACTTCCTGTCTATAGAATGATTCCTTTTTGTTCCATTAACATTATTTTTTGATGATTTAGAAATCATTAAGCCAAATCCATGCCATGCTTAATGGGGTATCAGCAAATCCACAGCCGGGACCTGCTGGCTCACAGGTGCTGAGTCCTGCGCTTGGTGTCCCAGCAGGGACCTTGTGTGGAATTTGCTGGCTTCCCTCAGTTCAAACCAGGACACCCAAAGCTGCATCCTCTTTCTCTTATTTTCTCCCTCCTTCCTCCCTTCACCCTTTCCTTCCTTTTTTGTTTTGTTTGTTTTGAGACTGAGTCTCTGTGTATCTCACTTAGTAGTTGTCCCAGATCAGCCTGGGGTGCTCAGTTCTTCCTCAGCCTCTCCAGAGCTAGGATCACGGGTGTCAGCCCCACATCCATGTAAGTTGTGCTCTCAGTGAAACCAGCCAGGTCAGACAGCCTGCAGAGCAGCAGGAGGGGGGGTCTTAGTCAGTGCTCTGTTGCTGTGAAGAGACACCATAATCACTGCAACTCTTGTAAAGGAAAACATGTAATTGGGGCTGGCTTACAGGTTCAGTCCGTTATCGTCATGGTGGGAGCATGGTGGCTCACAGGCAGACATGGTACTGGAGAAGTAGCTGAGAGTTCTATATCCTGATCCAAAGGCAGCAGGAAGAGAGAATGACACTGGGCCTGGCTTGAGCACTTGAAACCTCAAAACCCATCCCCAGTGACACCCTTCCTCCAACAAGGCCACATCTACTCAGACGAGGCCACACCTCCTAATAGTGCTGCTCCCTATGAGCCTATGGGGGCCATTTTCATTCGGACCACAAAGGGGCTCCTGATCAGGAGGCCCAAGCCTAGTCAAGTCAGCTCTGATCTCTGGGGTTTGTCTACACAAGGAGGATGGCTGTTCTTTCACCTTCTCATCTCTCAGGGAAGCCATGGGAATAAGAGAGCTAGCTACAAGAACGGCACATGTCCCCAGGTCCCCCTGCCCGGGCCTTGGCTTAACCGTCTTCATCTGTGATTTCTGTTCATGTCAGTCATGTTGAGGTGACTTCGATTGCCCCCGCCCCCATTTTATTTATCTTATAAATTTTGAGACATGGGTTCAAGTGCAAACAGGTGACCAGCCCATCCTGGCTTTGCTTTGGACTTCCACTTTTCTCTTGGAACAGTCCTAGGCAGAACCTTCTTGCTTTTTCAGAACTGAAAGGTTTGGGGGGACGTCAGCCTTATTAACACTGGGAAAACCCTGGGGAAACTCAGGTGAGTCACCCTATGTGGGAGTCAGCTGTAAAGCTGTGGAGGAATTTAAGCAAAGTGATGGTGCAGCTCCTGTAATCCCAGCTGCTAATTCATCTGCCCACATCTGGGCCAGTTTTTTCCTTTTCTTGTCTTTATCCTCTCACCTGCTACATGGGAATAATCACAGTCACACCTACTCCTGTGGTTGCAAGTATTAATGAGGATTAAATGAACTGATATGTACATGCAGTGGACTCCCCGGAAGTGATGGTGCTCCGGGGGTCACCTCAGGACTCAGCAGGAAGTAGTGCTGGATTGTTGCGGATGGCCGCTGTTGATGGCAGCATGGTCCCTTATGTGAAATAGCTGTTGCTTTTCTGCCTAGCTGTTCTGTGACTCTCCTGTCGATTAATGTGGCGATAACAACTGTTATAACAACTCCATTAGCTATGTCAGGAAGATGCCTGCCAGGAGCTGCTTGTATTAACTGTTTTCCAAATCCACCTGTGGGGGCTCAGATCTGCTACCCACTGAGAAGCTAATACTGGACCCATGACGTGGGTCATGTGGGCTATAGAGTTGAGCCTGGGGAATGGCCCTGCTCAGAGCAGCCCTGCTCACCAGCACACACTTTTTGCCTTTCTCAGCTACAGAAGGCTGCTGAACCCTGGGTCCTGAAGCACTCAGACCTGGAAAAGCAGGACAACAACTGGAAAGAGGTAAGGGGATCCCTGCTACCCGTGTTCTGTTGGCTCCTGACTACACTAGAAAATTTCTTGCTTGTGGGAAACGTGACCAAAGGCTGCTAACTCTGTCCCAAAAGCTGTACCTTTCTCACACCCTGGGCTTCTTAGCTATCCCTTTCTCACACTCCTGCCCATGGATTGGGGTTGGGAAGGGTCCTCTGCTGGGGCTATCTGACCGTGCCTGGGGGAAGCCCCAGGCCACTTCAGTTATACCTCAGCAGAAAGCAGGCTGTGTGGTCTTAGGTGAGTCACTCTCCATCTCTGAGCCCCAGTTGTCTCATCGCCCTGGCCTAGTCCTGAGTGGGGTCAGTCGGGTCACACTGGAGGAGTTTGTGCATAGATCCAGGGGCATTGTCCATAGAATACAGAGCCAAGTAACAGAGGTTATGTACAGACCCTTCACATCGCCATTCCCTCCTCATGATGTCATAGTACTCGGGAAATGGGGCTACAGAAGGTAAATGCCTGTTCTGGGGAGCTGAGACACAGAGGATTTGTGGGGGGTTCACAGGGCTAGTGACGCAGTTCTTTTTCACACACTGGTCACCAGAACTGACGCTTCTTGTCTCTCCCTTTGACAGACACGAAGTGAGAAGATCCACGACAAGGAGGGTGTTTCTGAAGCTGAACTTGGGGGAACCGGCTTAAAGAGGTGCTGGCCCCTCACTCCCCAGTGCCCCCCCCCAGTTCTGCCTCCCCCATAGACCCTTGGCTTTGGCTGTCTGCACTCCACTGCCCCATGTGTTCACTTCTGTCCCCCTGAGGGTTGGGAGAGCCACCAGATGGTTTTTATCTCTGTAATCCCGGTCACTCGGGCCCTGGAAAGCTTGGGGCTATGAAGACTGCAGCATGCAGTTTAATGTTGATGCCGGGTATGGAAAACTGGGGCCTCAGCTGTACCTGCTGGCAAAGAAGCTGTTTGACTCCTTTGGGGATTATCTTTTCCTCCCTGGAGTTTGAGTTTGGTAGATATCCATTCCTGGGGTTGGGCAGTGTCCATTGGGCCCCGCCCAATGCTGTGGCCAGGGGGACGCCCAAGGATAGTGTCTCCACCATTAAGACCCTCCACGAAGGAAGTGACGGGCAATACAGAACGTTCTAGAGTGAGGGGGTTATTGGGGTCAGAGAGCCAGGCTTCAATTCTAGCTCTGCCATTTCTAGCACTGAGGCCTTGGGTAGCTCCCTCTCTGTAGTGGGATAATTGGAGATGTCCCCAGAGCTGCCTAGTGACCAGTCATGTGCAGCAGAGGACGCCTTAGAAGCAAGCTCTACCTGGATGTAAGACACAGAATGAAGGCAGTGGGCCAAAGGAATTCCAAATGATCGATGGCAGATCTGGGGTACTGCCAGGTTAGTCAGTGGGCAACTGGAGCTCAAGACTGCTGAGGAACCTGGGAGCTAGCAGAGGCCGAATCAGTCAATCAGAGCTACCCCAGTTAAGGTGTGAGAAGGCCACGTACTTACTCCAGATCCCACCCATTGTGTGCTAAGGGCTACATTCAGGGGGATTGAAGCGGCTGCTTCTGGCTTCCTCTGTCTAGAGGTTAAGTGTGGTCCTAGTGTTTGTGCCACCTGAGTATATAAGGTAGCTGTATAGAGCGGGTTTGAGGGGGTGCCAGCAAGGCGCTCTCTAAGAGACAGGCAAGACAGGCTTGGTCTCCACATGCATAGCCAGGTAAGTAGACTAGCGTGCTTGATATGTGATTTTCTATCAGTCCCATTTTCTTCCTCTACTCTTCCCAGGACCAAATCAGTTTCCTCCATGTCTGAGTTTGAAAGTCTGCTTGACTGCTCCCCCTACCTTGCTGGTGGAGATGCCCGGAACAAGAAGCTGCCCAACAACCCTGCTTTTGCCTTTGTGAGTACTGAGCCGGGGGAGCCTGAGAAAGAGGCCAAGGAAAAGCCTGGGCTTTCCACCCGGGACTGCGGCCGCATGGGTACCCTGGCTTGCCAGGAGCCTGCAGGAAGGCAGATGCAGCGCAGCTACACGGCTCCAGACAAGACGGGCATACGAGTCTACTACAGTCCCCCGGTGGCCCGGCGCCTGGGTGTCCCTGTGGTCCATGACAAGGAGGGCAAGATCCTCATTGAACCAGGCTTCCTCTTCACCACAGCCAAGCCCAAGGAGTCAGCCGAGGCAGATGGGCTGGCTGAGAGCTCCTATAGCCGGTGGCTTTGCAACTTCTCCCGGCAGCGACTGGATGGAGGATCCGGGGGCAACACCTCGGGTTCCGGATCTGCTTTCCCTGCAGCCTTGCATGACTTTGAGATGTCCGGCAACATGAGCGATGACATGAAGGAGATCACCAACTGTGTGCGGCAGGCCATGCGCTCTGGCTCCCTGGAGAGGAAGGTGAAGAGCACATCCAGCCAGACGGTGGGCCTGGCCAGTGTGGGCACGCAGACCATTCGGACGGTCAGTGTGGGCCTGCAGACTGATCCACCCCGCAGCAGCCTCCATAGCAAGAGCTGGTCACCCCGCAGCTCCTCGCTCATGTCTGTACGCAGCAAGCAGATCTCCTCTTCCCTGGACAAGGTCCATTCGCGCATTGAGCGGCCATGCTGCTCGCCTAAGTATGGCTCCCCCAAGCTCCAGAGGCGATCAGTGTCCAAGCTGGACAGCACCAAGGACCGCAGCTTGTGGAACCTGCACCAAGGCAAGCAGAATGGCTCGGCCTGGGCCCGCTCCACCACCACACGGGATAGCCCCGTGCTGAGGAACATCAACGATGGGCTGTCCAGCCTCTTCAGCGTGGTGGAGCACTCAGGGAGCACAGAATCTGTCTGGAAACTGGGCATGTCTGAGGCCCGAACCAAGCCCGAGCCTCCCAAGTATGGCATTGTGCAGGAGTTCTTCCGGAATGTGTGTGGCCGGGCACCGAGCCCCACTACTGCAGCGGGAGAGGAGGGTTCCAAGAAACCCGAGCCTCTTTCCCCTGCCAGCTACCACCAACCTGAGGGTGTAGCCAGGATTCTGAATAAGAAGGCAGCCAAGACAGGCGGTAGTGAAGAGGTCAGACCCACCATGCTCTCCCAGGTGGGGAAGGATGGTGTCCTTCGGGATGGAGATGGCACCTTGATCCTCTCCAGTGAGGTATGGATGGTCTTTACCCTTCTGTCAGGATGGGGGATTAGCCTAGGAAGTTCAAACTCTTCTGTTTTGCTTTGTGCTGTGTTACGCGTTTTTATTCTTTAAAGTCAGAGTCTCTTGTAGCCCCGGCTGGCCTTGAATTTTCTATGTGGCTGAGGATGACCTTGAATTCCTGACCCCCTTGTCTCTACCTCCAGTGTGCTGGGATTCTAGGTATGTGCATGACACCTGGTTTATATGGTGCTGGAGATGGTATCCAGGGCTTTGTGCACGCTAGGCAAGCCTCTACCGACTGAGGTGTGTGCCAAGGCCCTCCTCTGGCTCTTAAACCCAGGGAAGATATTAGCTGTGTGTCTTAAAGTGTTCTTACACTGATCTGGGATGGACACGAACATCCCTGACTTGAAATAACACAGGCCTAGTGCCAAGAGACTAGTGGACATGGCCTAACCACTCACTTTGCCACAGTGCTGCAGAGATTACAGCATCCCTCCAGATAGGAGGTGTGCCTACCGAGTGGCTTGTGAGCTTCTGAGAGTCAGTTGTTAGCATCCTTCGTGCCTTGGTAACTTAAGATTGCTGTAATAACAGGTAAATCCCAGGAAAAAAAAAAAAAGCTTTGAAAAGCTACAAATCAGGGTTTTACCCACCCTCACTCTTAGAAGACTGGTTATAACACATTCACCAACTGCCATTTCCCCATCCCAACAAGACTTCACGTCTAAGTTGTCTAGGAATGTCTTGCTGCACACCCCACTCCCGATACCAGTTTTGTTGTGTTAGGGATTATTTGAAATTTAGTAAAGGAATGTGTCTAAATTGGAGAAGGGGAAGAAGTGGTCTCTGCAGGATGGTGGTCTCGTGGAACCCTAACGTGGGCCTGGCAGACTGCAGCATCGTCCTCTCCTACTTGAACTCTGTCTTCCCCTGTTTCTCCTCTCTTACCCTCTTCCTGGCTTTTTCTTTCTTTTTAAAAATATTTCAGTTTTATTGTATGTGCATTGGTGTTTTGCCTGCATGTATGTCTGTGTGAAGGTGTCTTAACTCACTGGAGCTGGAGTTACAGAGAGTTGTGAGCCACTGTGTGGGCGCTGGAAATTGATCCCGGGTCCTCTGGAAGAGCAGCCAGTGCTCTTAACCACTGAGCCATCTCTCCAGTGTCCTGCGTTTTTTTCTTTTAGATTTATTTATTTTATATTCATGTGTATTATGTGAGTTCACTTGAGTCTTTTTGCATCATGTGTGTGAAAGTGCCTGTAGAGGCCAGATGATGTCAGGCCCCCTGCAACTGGAGTTACAGCACCTATGAGCAGCCTGATGTGGGTGCTTTGCATGAACAGCCAGTACTCTTGTGTTTGATTTGCCCCTCACAATACTGCGAGACACAGTGTACTTTCATCATAGAGAGAAGGGGATAACAGCTTATAGATGTGTCACTTGCCTAGTAAGTGCAGAGCCAGGACTGAACAGAAAGAGCAGGTTTGACAGCAGTGCTTTGGACTGTTTCTATGTTCTGGTAATAACTACAAGAATGAATGAGCTGGGCATTAGTGGTGCGTGCCTTTAATCCCAGCACTCGGGAGGCGGAGCCAGGCGGATCTTTGAGTTTGAGGCCAGCCTGGTCTACAGCCAGGGCTACACAGAGAAATGCTCAAAACAAAACAGAAGACTGGATCTACCTAAATATACATCAAAAGTGGATTGGGAAATGCCCAGTCCTCCCAGGGGAGGAGGAAAGCATTGACCAGATGTGGTTGCACATACCCATAACCCCAATACTTGGGATTATGAGTAGCTGAGACAAAAACACCACAAGTTGAGGCCAGACTGGGCTGCATAGTGAATTCAAGGCTAGCTGGAGCTACATAGTGTGACTCTGTCACAAAGAAGCAAACAGAAAAGTAAATTGGGGCCGAGGATGTAGCTCAGTGGTAGAGCACCTGCCTGGCTTGCTCAAGGCCCTGGATTCTATCTCTAGTGCTGGGGGGGGGGGGGGGGGGGGGGCGGTGAATTGGAAGGTATTTATTTCCATTCAGCAGAATACTATAGAGCCATTAAAACAGAGAGACCCAGGGGCTGGAGAGATGGCTCAGTAGTTAAGAACCCTGGCTGCTCTTCCAGGGGTCCTGGGTTTGATTCCCAGCACTACATGATGGCTCACAGCTGTGTATAACTCTAGTTCCAGGGTATCTGACACCTTCTTCTAGACTCCGTGGGCACTGTAGACATGTGGTGCACAGACACACATGCAAGCAAAATGCCCAAACACATAAAAATAACAACAAAAACAAACCAACAGAAACATAGACATTCACAGCAGCAGAGAAGTGTTTGTCATTTGTAAGTGGAAAAAAATGCTTTGGGGATGAGGCCATGCTGGTCAGTGTATGAATGCGTAGAATGTTGAGAATTTTAACCATGCATAATGTCTGCCTTCTTCTTTGTGCCTTCCAGACTTTATTAGAATGAGGATCCATTTCTGCCCTAGTAGGTGTAATGTGATAAAAATTTGTATAGAACAGGGTTGTTGCCCCTGGGAAGCAGTGTGAGACATGGCTGAGTCTCAGCTCCTGGGTGGCTGCAGCCAGTGCCTGGGACTGCTCCTCACCGCCTCTCTGTCTCTTCCCAGGATGCTGTTTGTGACTGTAGTGCCCAGTCGCTCGCCTCCTGCTTCGTCCGGCCATCCCGCAACACCATCCGACACTCTCCTTCCAAGTGCAGACTGCACCCTTCAGAGTCGGGCTGGGGCGGGGAGGAGAGGGCAGCCCCACAGTGAGTCCCAGGGCAGCCAAGCTCCCGCCTCAAGCAGCCCAGACCCTGGAGATGAGACAAGGGGTCACGTCCTCAGCCTCGCTCTGCCCAGGAGGAACAGCAGCTGTACCACTGCCAGAGAAGAGCTTTTCAAGGTAAAGCAGGGTGTCCCGCTGACTGCTGGGAGGTGACCTCTGATTTCCAGGGGAAGGCAGTGAGCAGGAGAAAGACCAAATCTGGGTAATCAGGACTCTGAGCCTCAAATGCACCTGAAGAGCTCCACAAGTCATCTCTGGATCCTAAAGGGGGCCTGGTACCACCCACACCGCTTCTTAGAAGGATCTAGAAAAGGAGGGATTTCTGGTCAGGCTCCAGGAATGGGGCTCACAGAGATGGGCCCTACCTAACCACATGCGGAGAAGCCACCGAGAAGACTGGTTTTTGCTTCGGGCCCAGCTTGCCGCTCCTGAAGAGTGGGTGGGCTGGGCGGTGTCACCGTCACTTCTTGCCTCCTCCTCCTAGCTCTGCTGATCCGGTTGGTAGGCCTTCTTGGAGCAGGGAAGGGGGATATGATAGAGCAGAAGCCAGGGCCAAGTACACTTGGGATCCTGGAGCCCTGGATCCCCCTCCTGTACCCACATGTAACAAGAACTGGGAGGCAGCTAGGAGTGTGTAAGGTTCATAATTGGAGGCCAGAAGAGCTGGCTCCCTTGTCAAGGTGACTTGAAAGCCCGACTTTCATAGGAGACTCCGTGAGAACAGAAATGGGTAGGGTCCATCTCGACACCTGACGCAGAGGTAAAAGCCTACATGCCATGCCTTGATCCCGAGGGCCTCTTTCTTGGTAGCAGGAATGGGTGCCACAATCCTGCAGCAAGTAGGGGCAGAAATGCTCCCTGGGAGAGACTCTGTTGGTCAGGCCAGGCCAGAGAAAAGCGCCAAAAGGCTAGTGTCCCAGGACGCAGCCCAAGACAAGGGCCTACAAACAGTTCTTGCCTAGATTGTTTATTTGAATTTTTCATACTATAAATATTTAAGGTGATTTACTTTATTTTAATAATTTAACTTACCAGCCCCCCGAAGCCCTTAAGGTAATTTATTAGAGGTTTTCTTGCCGCTGGGACAATGTGGGGCTTGTGACACCATGGAGTCCCCCACGTAGCTGAGGCAACTCAGCACCAGGCTCAGATGGCCTGGTTTCGTCAGAAGGGCCCTTGGCAGAGCTGGGGCTCAGCACCTTGGTACCCCAGTGCCACTGGCCATTTAGTCTCAGATCACGACATTTTACTCATCGCCTGGTACTTGGCCTGGCCTCTACAGGCCAGACTGTAAATACTTCAGACACAGTGTAGGCCAGAATGATGTCATCACTCCCCAGACATCCTCCGTGATCCTTCTGACCCCTCCCGTTCCTCCAACACCTTTTCTCCCGAGTCAAACATAGATGACCGTAGCTGCAGCTCTGCTGTGAGCACAGCGACCCTCCACGTTCCCCATGTGAGACATCACAGGACAACGGGATGGACTTGTAGAATGTTGTCTACCGCAGCTTTGCACATGGATCTGAGAGTGTCTACCAGCCCTTCTCTTAGCCTTATAGCCACTCACGGCTCCTCTTCTAGCCCCAGCTCTACTGCCTGCCTGCCCTTCCTGCACCCCTAGGAGTCGCCTGAGCCACACCAGTGTAACTCAAACCACAGTATCGGGAGCTCACATGCCTCCCCTTGGTGCCAATGAACCAATTTCACTTGTGCACGGGATGTGCTGCCCTCCTGTTCCTGGCTGGGGATCTGGACTCATCTAAGGATGGATTGGTGTCGTGCCGAGTTCCCCATCGGAAAGGCAGAGGGCCAGCTGCACAGCGGGTTTCCTCCAGACTAGGGAGATGCCTCTGCACTCCCACCTACCAGTTTCCAGGCTACCTTTTTGGGGACACCTGGAACAGTTACCCAAAGCCCCACGACCCCATTCCCTATGGGCAGTATACCAGGGTCAGTCCATCCCACCAGCTGTTGCCTCGTGTCCTAGTGACTTGCATGGGCAGAGTCAGCAGGCCAGTGGACCTTGGGCCAGGTCCCTCCAGGATGCTACTGCTCTCCTCCAAGAGGTCAGAGGCCCCTCTAAGGTTACCTCCAGCTGAGGGGACCACACCAGGCCACAAGCCACCAGAGGCCTTCTGCCACCTCCCAGAGCTGCTGAGAGCCAGGGAGGCTTGAAGAAAAGTCCCCATAGACCTGAACCCCAGGGCTTAGGGGCCACTCAGCCTTACCATCGTCTCCCATCTGGGTCGTTTTGCGTTTCCGCTGTCTCAGCACCTGGCCCCCTGTGGCCCCCAGCAGGTGTTGCAAGCTCCAAGTCTTGGTTTTCAGTCCCTGTTTCTAACTCTTGCTTGCTACTGTGCAAGGCCCTTGTCACTGTCCCCATAGAAGCCCCTGGACATAGGGCTTGATGGGGTTGAACATGTTACATGTAAATATTGGTTTGATTTGATCTTTAGCATTTTACTTGGTAACTGGTTCTGTTTTCTTTTGGGGGGGGTGGAAGGGTTGGTATGTAAATCTCTCTACTCTTTCGAAATGTAATTTCTAAGTTTGTTTGTTTCTTCAAATGCCTTTTATGTCTTGGTAACATTCCCAAAGCAGAAAACTGCCTGGCCCACATGGGGCACTCCCCCGGAGGCCTGGGGTCCTGGGAAGGAGCACCGCCCTTCCTCCCAATCCATCCTCTTTCTGTCCACCTCCGCCTTTCTCCTCCTTTTCCTTCAGCCCTCTACCTCCTTTTCCCCCATCTCTCTTTCTCTCTTAGCCAATGTCCCAAGGAACCCTGGGGTCCCCCTCCTCTAATAGATTGCCTGGCTTGAGCCCATAGGGTTGACACAAATTGGCGGGCGGCATGAGGGTGAGTTACATGATTGAAACTAAACTAGGTCTCACCTTTTCCCAGGGCTAAACCAAACTAGACCATCTTGGAGGCAATGGTGAGGGTTTTGAAATGAAATTCAGAGCCCTTGGGACCCCTGACTGAACAAGGCATCAGAATCCATTCCCTTTGCTCTGTGGTCTTCCTCCTAGTCCTTATCCAACCAAGGCCTGTTCTCAAATCGGGCCCTGTCTCTTGGCCTCTCCAGGGATATTCATCACCAGCTGGCCTCCAGGTGACAAGAATAAGTACTCCAAAGACTTGGCCTTCTGGATACCACTGTGCCACTCTATGAACCTTTCATGGATATATCCATCACTCAGCTCACTCAGCTTTGTCTTTTGCCCCAAGACCACCAGGCTCTTCCTCTTCCCAGACCCACCCAGAATGGATCCAGTTCCAGACTTAACTGTTCACTAGCTCCCTGTTGTAGTAACAGCCATCCCTCACACCATCCTCCCTAGAGTACTTAACTGTTTAGAAGTCACATCCTCAAACCCCTCTCCTCAGGTCTCTCAAGGGCAACTCTTAAGAGGCGGTTTTGACAAAGCAGGGATTAATGCTCCTTCTGCCAATGAGAAAACAGATAAAGTTCTCATACCGGAGCCTGGAGCCAGGAAGTCATCACTTTTACAGCTGGACTCTTTCTGTACAAACTCACTGGGATGCTGCTAGATTCAGGGCATCCCAAATTTGCCACTGCCAAACCCAGAGGCAAGACTTTCAACTCTCTAGACCTTTGTGTTCCAGAGGGTATCCCAGGGACCTGCTACATCTGAACCTCTGAGAGCGTGCTCAAAGTGCAGATTCCTAGGCCGTACCATAACCGTCTGCACAGAGGACCTTCAGGTTTAGCTCTCTGGGAGATCCTTAAGTACCAGTGACCACAGCGTTTACATCCACAGGTCCAGTCATTCGTAGCTCTTGCATTGTGAGCCAGTGCTCGTGGTGTGGGTTCTTGACAAGAGCCCTGAGCATTAAACTGGGATATTGAGGATGTGTGGGGGGGTGGGGTGGGGGGGGAGGGTCCTCAACCAAACTCTACTTTGAGGAAATTACCCCAAGGATTTCCAAAGGGCACCCAGACCAGTGTTCCACCTTAGTCAGATGTTTCATAAAATAGCAAAGCCAGAAAGTTGAGGCTGACGGCACAGCCCTTTAATCCCAGCTACTCAGGAGGCTGAAACAGGAGGGTCAAGTTCAAAGCCTGTTTGGGCTATAGTTCATGGTTGGTCTGGGCAGTTTTCTGAGGCCTTGTCTCAAAATAAGGATTTTAGAAAGTGCTATGTAGCTCAGTGGTAGACACTTACTTCACATGTGTGAGGCCCTGGGTTCTTTCCCTAGCATTAGAAAACTAGAAAATCAAAGGGTGAGTAGGACTAGAGACATATATCTCAGTAGGAGAGCACTTGCCCAGCGTATGAAAAAGGGAAAAACAATCTTTCCCCAGCCTACCTGCTATCATCCCCGTGATTACATGATTTAAATTGTACTCTCCCCCCCCGTCTGTTTTTGTTTTTAGACAGGACTGTGCTATGTATCCCTGGCAAATCTGGAAATTGCTATGTAGACCTTAAACTTGTGGTAATTCTCCTGCCTCTGCCTCCCCAAGTTTAATTAATTAATAATTAATAGCCGTGTACCACCATACACAGCCTGAAACTTCATTCTTGAGTTTCCTGGCAGCCACGGTAAGAGAAGAAGCATGTCAGGTTTTTATCGTTTCCGGCAGTCAGGCATGTGAGCGATGAGCATTTTTGCTCTGAGAGACAAGCTAATGTGGAGCATGAGTTCTTTCCTCGAAGACTGAGGAGCTGGTTGGTGTTTTACCAATAAAGCATGTTTTCCAGGTGACATTTATAAAATAATAAACTGCCACCAGCTTGAATGACCTTGGCCAAATCACATAGCCAGTCCGTGCTTCAGTTTCCCCAGCGATAAAGCGGTGGCTATGGTAATGACCAGATGCACCATGCCTGCTCATCTCCCAAGAAAAGCTGAAGTTCTATACCAATCTGAATTACATCTGACCGCACTCGGTATAGCCATCGAGCTCCTCAGTGCCCTGGCTCCAGTGGTGTGTGTGTGTGTGTGTGTGTGTGTGCTGGGAATGAGACTGAGCATATGAGACAAGCACTTTACCACTGAGCTACATCTTCAACACCTAAGAGGCTTTTAGAAAATTAATTTATTTCGATACAGGGTCTCCTCTGTCATCAGCTGGCCTCCAACTCACTGTGTAACCAAGGATGAACTTGAACTCCTGATCTTCCTGTCTCTCTCTCTCCACCGGCATTTGCCACAACCCCTGTCTTTTGTGAACATTCACAATATTGTGTCACCAGTACTATTCCCAGAACTTTTTCTTGGCCCCAGACTGAAACTGCACCCCCTCATAATAGTTAATAACTGACCCCTAAACAATAATTCCTGCCCCTGCCCCAGGGCTGAATGACCTCTGCTCTACTTCCTTCCTTTTTGCACTGGCCTCTTTTAGGTACTTGTGTAGACAGAATCCAACATTTATCCATCGTGTTTCACCCCTTCGTGGTTTACGCGTTGAGAAAGGAGTGGCTTGCCCAAGGCCTCACAGCAAGGCAGAGGCGTAGCTACCAGCACATCCAGGGCTCCTGACTCCCGGAAGATTCCAGACATAGTGCATGAAGCATGCTCTGGGGGCTTGGCTGAATCCCCATCTTCCTACCTCACACCCCTCCTCCTCCCTCATCATCCAGAGCTCCCCTCGTAGCTTCCACTTCTTAGCTGGTTTCTGCCACCTGGTGAAGCAATCCTAACCTAGAACCAGGTTTTCTTCTCTGGGACCCTGGGATTTCTGTAGCACCAGCCCTCAGCCCTCCTGTATCCTCTGGTACACTCTTCCCTCTTTTGTATGGACTTTTGTCTGACCTTGACAATCCCCTCCCTGTCCCTACACACTCACATCCTCACCCCATCAGGGGATTGCCATGTCCAGTTTTGTTTTGTTTTTTTTCCAATTCCAAGGTTTTCTCTCAGATCCGGAATTATCCAGTCTTGTGTTTATTTTGTATTTTTTCTCACTAGAAGCATCCCCTTTGTTCTGGGCATCATGCAATGCCACCTCTTCCAGCCCTTCTCATCAGACTCATACCAGCCCAGAACACCCCCAGTCCCACCCCACTCTCTGGCTTCTGTCTTCCCTGCTCCTCCCAGTAGCAACCATGTCACCTTCCTCTGGGAAGATGCGCAGTGCACACGGACCCAGTGTTCACCTTTGGGTCTTCTCTTCCCCTCCCTACTCTGGGTGGCCTTGGTATAAAGCAGAAGTTTGACTTCTCTTTCTTTGGTTTTGTGTCCCTCTGTCCATCCTGTCTGTTCTCCCCTAGCCTTCACCTCCTCCAGATCAGCTCCTCAGGTGACAGAACCTCACTCACCCTCTTGAACCAACAGCATTTGCAGTTTGCAGAACCACAGAGCCATGAAAGGGGACTGAGGGCATGATCCTGGGCCACAGTCCCTGCTCAGGGCTCCTCTACTGCCCGACCCCTTTCCTTCCTCACCTTCCTGGGACCCTTCTCTTCCCTTTGTCTACCCCATTGATTCTGTGCCCGGCCCCCTTCTCCTACCCTTCACCAGCTCCCTGGACCTAAGGGAAGAGTCTTTGGTTTCCTCTGAAAATCCTAGAAGGATTGAGGCAGTCAGAGTCTGGATTACTTGTCACACCACATCCAAAGCCACCGTTGCCACTTCTGTCAAGAGAGACCTCAGTTGGCAGTCTGGAAACCTATCCCAAGTTTGAGCCTCCCAGTTTTATGAGCCTCCCAGTTTTATGGTCCTCCCGGGAGCACCAGGATGACCCTATGGGCTTCAAACATCCTTTGCATTTGGGGTCCTGCAGCCTCCCCTGGATCCTCTGGGCCCTGGCACCCTGGCTCTTCTCTTGGCTCTGCCATTGATCTCTCTCTGTGCCTTGTTTTACCTCTCTGCACAGGGGGGCTCACCCACAACAACATCATTCCTAGCATCTGTCTAGATCTTTTGGACCTCTACAACTGGGCCTTGCCAACATGGCTTGCCTTAGGAGTACCAGGTTGCCAAGGCAACTGGGGGCATCACTGGAGACTAGTGTCTCTCAAACTCTCTCCAGCAGTAGAGCCCTCGCCAGCAAGGTTGAGAGAAGTGCAGATTGTTGGCCCCACCCAAGACCCACTGAAGCAAGTCCAGCCAGTTGGGGTTTGAAAGAGCCTCCAGGTCATTCCTATGTAGACAAGTTTGCCACCATCAACAAGGTTGTTGTCCCAGACAGCTGTCCATTCAGCGTGGGCAGTAACTGGGCCTGGCCTGGGCCAAGAACAATGGAAAACAACCAGTCAACCAGACCCTCGATTCAGGGTCTCTGCCCACACCCCCACCCCCACCCTAACAAAACATCACTGTAGCATCTCCTACTTTTGGAAGCTGGGATGGGGAGACAGCCCTGCAGCTTTCCTATTACCTCCCTGGTTCCATTTCAGCCCAGCTCACCATCCCCCACTAATTTGGATTTTGAGGAACTGTGCATAGGAGGTCACAGCAGGCAAAGGGGAGAGTCCCCAGAGGCAGGAGGCAAAAAGGACCCTTTTTTGTTTTTCCACTGGAATCCTCACCATTGCCAGAGGGCCTCTGTCCAAAGGGAAGGAACCTGCTGCAGGAAGAGACTCCCCAGCCCCTCACCGTCAGCACTCCCACACCATGTCCTTATCCTCCCAATCCCAGGGAGACCTGAAGACAGTGCCAAAACCCAGCTCCAGACCCCAGCGCCTGGGAAAGAGCTAGAAACTGCCTCTCCTCCTCGTCCTGGCTCCCCTCCCCGATCTGGCCAATACTGTGAAGGCCCTTCCTGCTCATCCCGGTTTCCTGGGGAGGGTCCTGCAGTCGTGGGCCCTGGGGGACCCCTCAGGAGGGAAGGGACCAAGGGCATCCTTGGGCCAACTATCCACCTCTCCCTTCCACTATTCTCCCCTCCTCCTCCTTCTCTTCTCTCCCTCCTTCCATTACCCCCATCCCCCTTTCTGTCTTTAAAGGCTCCTTCCTGGGATGGATTGGGTGACAGAGAACAGCAGTCTAGTCCACCAGCTCTCCTCGCCCTGTGTCTTATTTCAGACATGAGAACTGTACAGTGTAAACTTACAAAGTGTTTTTAATGGTTGTAGATTGGAAATAAAGTATGTCATATAAACATTTGCCTGCTTTCTGCTCTCTGCTTTTCCGTGGAGAGGCTGGTGGGGCCCCAGCAGGTTTGAAAACTGACTCCATCCCACCTGGGATTGCTTAAGAGGGGAAAACTGAAGCCAGCTGGCTGGTTTGGAATCACCTAGATGGGGCCACGGGGGCGGGGGGGGGGGGGGGGGGGGGGGTGCGGTTCTGGTGGCTCATGGCTGGTAACTCAGCGTCTCCCAGGAAGTATGTCACCACTACTGAGAAACAAATGCAGAATGCTCAAGAAGGGGAAAAAGAGAATCAAGCCTTTCCCTAACACAGTGATTTATTACGGGGGGAAGATACTTTTAGTCATTACAGTTGCATTAATCATCCCAAATGTATCATATCCTACCAATGTTGTGGGCTGCGAATGTGGGGGCTGGGCAGTTCTAGTTCATGGATTCTGGAGGCTTGCAATCTGATATCAAGTAGGCTATGAGTATTTGCAGCTTAGAGCGTCTGGGGATGGAACCCAGGGTCCATGTCATGCATGTCAGGGGAGCTCTCTACCAGAGAGCTATAGGCCTAGGCAGCCTGTGCTCCTTGGATTTCTGACTAGAGCTCAAAGATCCCTTTACAAAGTGACTAATTCACAAACCTGGGTAAAGAGATTCAGTTCCTCAACATGTGGGGAAGCTTGCGTATGTATCCTTGCGTGTGGCCACTAGCTTATGGGCTAAGCCCTGAAAGTTACATTTCTGTGATATTTTATTGGTTATATAAACCAACTCTTTTCAGTGCAGGAGGGGGCTATACAGACACTCTTCACTGTAGGAAGAGACGACACACCAGGAAAAGGGACACTGGGGCCATCTTGGAAGCTGCCTGCTGTATGTGAGGGGTACGGTAAAGAAGCTGCTGACATGACCGCTCCTTGATATGGTTAAGGTTTTTATTGTAGATACGAGACAGAACAGCCAGGGGGATCTGAAAGAGTCCAGAGCAGAGAGAGAAAGAAGTAGACTGAACATGGCCAGGGCTAGGGGCGTGGGAGAGAATAGTGGAGAGTAGCAGGGTAGCCAGAGATGGAGCATAGGGCATAGTGAGAGAGAGTAAAGGAAATCAAGTGCAAATAAGAGACAAGCTAGAGTAATTGCGGGAAGCAGAGAACAGTGAGTTATAAAAGAGAGTGAGTAGCTGGGAGGTGGGAAGCCCGTGAACTGGAGGAAGTTTGGGGTGGAGGAGGAAGTGAGAAGAGCTAGCTAGTATGGACTCTGAAATGTGTAACAGTGCCGGGCGGTGGTGGCGCACACCTTCAATCCCAGCACTCGGGAGGCAGAGGCAGGCGGATCTCTGTGAATTCGAGGCCAGCTTGGGCTACCAAGTGAGTTCCAGGAAAGGCGCAAAACCACACGGAGAAATCCTGTCTCGTAACAACCAAAAAAAAAAGAAATGTGTAACAGGTACTCTTGATAGTGAGGGAGCCTGGAGGGCAGCATGGGCTTTGCTATGCTGATAGGCACTGTGGGCAGATGGAAACCAGTTTTACAAGTTTCCAAAGAATGCTGGTTTTTATTTAACTGCTGGAAATTTTCCTTATAGTCCAGTTTTAGCTCATTTCTGGATGTTTGGACAGCCTAAGACTTAACACCTACTTTTATAGATCTTCTCTTTTATGGGGGGCTAATAAATGCCAGGCCTGTGCCAGGCATGGAGGATATAACAGATAGGTGCTGCAGTCCCGCTACAGCCTGGGTTCGGGTCCTGAGACGGGAAGGGGGGTTGGCACAAAGAAATGAATTGTCTGACCCTCAGATGAGTTTCACACAAGTAGCCGTCCAAAGAGCTCAAGCCGTCTTTATACTTCAAAAACAAGCATGTTTTTCCATACTAACAAACATGTTTTCCCACCCTTCCGATGTTAACCTCCAGCAAAAACAAATATGTCAAATATGGGGTTTTCCCCCAACTTTTACATCAAAAAATTTTTATTTTGCTAGCTTGGTCAAATACCGAGCCAGGTACATCCTGTCTTTACAAAACTAAAAGGTGATAAACACAGGCCAAATTTTCAAGAACAACAATATCATTCAAACATATTTACAGAAATAGGGATGATCTACCTCTGATCCTGTCAGCACTGAATCAGGACAGCTCCCAGGGTCTAGAGTGACAGCTGGTATCCCCAGACAAGAAACCTGAGAAGCATCAGCTCCCAAAGAGTTTTAGGGGAAAATATTCAAGAGAAATGGGGTTTCCAGGACTGATCACATCTGTCCCACACGTGACTGACAAAGTGACACTAAAAACTGCTAAGAGAATCATCAGTATTATGAGAAGAGAGTGTACAGGCCACACAGTTCCAGCAGCACTCTGCGCTGTCCCAAAGTCCACTGGTCCTTGCCGAGTGAGACTGTCCCCGTGGGCTTTGCCTCATCTGGAGATCCCTTGGACAACCACTCATACTGACCTAGCTCCCAACAGATGGGCCTGGAAAATAATATATCAATCACCAGTAACCAAAGTGGGGGGCCCCTGGGAAGCACACAGAGTTGTCATATTGAGCAAAGTGAATGGTAATGGATTGTAGGTAGGAAACAGAGGAGAGAAAGAATGTGCCTGAAAGCCTGGGGAAAGAGGGCAGAGACAGGCAGGGTGGCAACACTGGTAATCCTGATACTTGGGAGGGAGAGGCAGGAGGAGCAGAAGTTACAGTGTCATCCTTAGCTATATATTGAGTTTGAGGCCAGCCTGGGCTACATGAGAACCTGTTTCAAAGTAACCAGAAATGGGGAGGCAATATGAACTTAAGAAATGAAAGTTGAATGTGGAACAGGGAAAGAATTCGTATGTATCTTAAAAAGAGGAGGGAACCATCAGAGAATTCAAAGCAAGGAAAAGACATGGTTGGACGTTGACTGGGACTGGATTGAATGAGGCCAGCCAACATGGCCAGCCCTGGCTGGGAATATTAAATTCTGTCTTTGGGACATCAACACATGAAGTGCTGAAGGACGGAGGCATGGATAAAGGAACCCAGCTCCAGAAAGTGATATTCAGGGAACCAAGAACACACCTCTTTCGGATAACTGTTGAAACTACTAGGCCAGAGTGGCAGCGCAGAAATTTCTGCTATACACATTTCTATCTTTGACTAGAAACTTTGCAAGGGACCACAATTACAATGGAAGAATGGCCAAAGTCATGCTACATCCACCTGCCTCCCACTCCTTGAGGGCCTTTTTGTTTTGTTTTGCTTTGCTTTGCTTTTGTTTGAGACAGGGTCTTACTATGTAGCCTTGGCTGGCCTCAAACTCAAGAGATGTGCCTGCCTCTGCCTTCCCAGTGCTGGGATTAAAGGCATGTGCCACCACACCTGGCCCTTTGGAATCTCTCTTACTGCTCTCAATTCAGCATTCACAAGGTTCAGATCTGAAAGAAATCACTTCATTGATGCATAGGGCCATTCTGATGGCTCAATACCTTGTCCCGAGGACACGGACCCTCCCAGGCAAAGGAGGGTGAAGCAGGCATGGGTTGGGCTCCTGGGAGCACAGAACATCTGGCCTCCAACATGGAAGAGAAGGTTAGCAGGGGAAGAGAAAGGCTTTCAAGGCAAAGAGCATGCTCGAACAAAGGAGCAGGGCAAGAACTGGCAGAGCGGTGGCAGCCGCAGGGTCGGTTGCTCTGTACGTAAGGGACCATGGGAGGGGCCCGTGAAGCAGGAGTAAATCGGCAGGGGACAAACTGAGCTCAGAGTTCCAGTTGTCCCTGGGGAGAGTCACTGTCCACACTTTTGGAGTGAAAGAGATAGAGAGGCAGCCGTGGCCCAGAACAGGAGTACGGCACCAGACTCCCTGACTTTCCTATGTAGGCTGTATTGTAGTAAGGGTCAGCAAAGTGGTGCACTGGAGAAGGCAATCCCGGGGCTGGGTGTGGCTGGACAAGTAGTGACCGTAATTGGACAGAAAAATCAGGGACAAGATGGGCTGGGCCAGAGCCTGGAACACCGGAGTACGCATGCGCTCTCCCGGAGGCGCGGCCCTGCGCTCGAACGCCGAAGCCGCTGGCTGCGCACGCGCAGTTGTTTGGCGGGAATTTCGGAAGTAGCGGCAGCGACGCGGGACCGCGAGCCGTACTAACCCGGGAGAGGGCCCTCTGCACTGACGCCGAGTTTTCAGAGGTGACCTTGGGCTTTGTGTTTCAGGAACGGGGGCCCCCGGGCTGGACGGGCGTCGCTCTGGGGTCGGAAGTCGCAGACATCTCCCCGGATGTGGCTCGCTCGCCCCTGACCCGCCTCTCGGCCCGGCCCACCCCGCGCTCCCGGCGCTCCCGGCGCTCCCGGCGCTCTCGGCGCTCCCGGCGCTCCCGGCCGCAGGGCCTCGGAGACTTCCTCGCGATAGGACAACCGCGGGAAGACCACTCCTCTCTCCCGGGCACAGCGGCGAGCGACCCTGATTCCAGATGGTGGCTGGGGGCTGGGCAGAGGGCTGGGGTCACAGCCCGGGTTGCATTGTTCCTGTGCCCCGGGCTGGCCTCGTAAGGAGCCTGGGCCTCCTGATAGAGTAATAATACTCAAGAGTTGTAGAACGTATTAAATGGGATAATGATCCATTATCTAAGCTTGAGCCTGTGGGATCTGTTATACGGATTGTGGTGATTTAGATCCTTAAAGGACCCTTTGTTCTTTCAGTATGGTCCCTCAGCAACCACTCGTTTTGTTCTTTACCAAGCTCCCCCCACATTCAGATGTCTTTTGGGAGGGAGAAATACATGCAAGATGGAGAGATGCCAGGCTGTGTCCCTGCCTCTCTTCGGGTCAGTTGTCTCTGACAGGTACTGGGAATGCAGTGCAGTCTGGCTGGGAAGACAGACATGTAAATATATTTTACAGCCAGTAATATAGAGAAAAGATTAGTGGCCATCAAAATATGCCAAAGGGAAGTGACTTCAATTTTTTTTTTAATTAGTTAGTTATGTGCATTGGTGTTTTGCCATGGGTATTGGATCCCCTGGAACTGGAGTTACAGACAGTTGTGAGCTGCCATGTGGGTGCTGGGAATTGAACCTGGGTCCTCCTGAAGAGCAGTCAGTGCTCTTACCTACTGAGCCATCGCTCCAGCCCCGTGACTTCAAATTTAAGCTGTGTTAAAAAGGATGAGTCTGGGGGCTGGAGAAATGGCTCAGTGGTTAAGAATACTGATTGCTCTTCCAGAGGACCCAGGTTCAATTCCCAGCACCCACATGGCAGCTCACAACTGTCTGTAATTCCAGTTCCAGGGGGCCCAACACCCTCACACAGACAGACATACATGCAGGCAAAATGCCAATGCGCATTTAAAAAAAAAAAGATGAGTCTTTTATGGGTGGAAGGAATATGTGTACAGAGATTAAAAAGTAGGATTTCCAGGTATGGAAGGATCTGGAGAGAATAAGAAGAGATGGTGTGGGGTTGTTTTGTTTGTTTTCTAGTTTGGAAAACAAAGTAGATCCTAATACCATTGATGGAATTAGAGGCTAGTGAATCACAAAGTGCCTGGGAGCTAAGATAGGCTATATGTAGTAAGTTCTGTAGGAGAGCAGTCAGTGACCCCGGCAGATAGTCTTGGAGGAGACAAGTGAGGGCAGTTCAAGCACGAGACCTATTATGGGGTTGTGAAGCCCCTGTGAGACTGGAGCTGGAATGTTAAGAACAAATCACCTCATTTTCCTATTTTCATTTCTCCATCCAGGATGACGTCAGTCACCAGAGCAGAAGGTGAGTTTTACGGTGAAATTTAGTGCCTCTTGCCTCAGGTTCAGACTCCTGAACTATTACAGAACCCTTCTCTGGCTCCTGGTGGCTTTGGAATCACACGCTGTATATTTGCAGAAAGGCTTCCTGTTTTCTTCACCAGGGAAATAGATTTCCTTCCCTCCTTTGTTCCTTCTGCCTAGGCTCCCAGGAAGCTGAGCCTTCCAGTGTATGTCATCTTGTGGGGCTGTACATTTTCTGTTGTCACTGAGCAAAGGCTCAGATACTTGATTGCGGTAGGTTTTGATTTTATATTTTGACTTTTCTATAACAAATGCTAGAACAGGAACCAATGATGTCCAAGACTCAGGATCATCAATTGCAATCAAGTCCCAACCCTTTGGAAGTGTTGCCTAAATCCTCTGCCTCCCTGGAGATGACGCAAGGCATTCCAACGGAAAAAAATCACCTCGGCTGGAGCCCTGAAAAGGGGGAAAGTTGTGATGCCAACCATCAGGAGAGACTTCAGTTGAGGTCACTTCATTTGTCCCCCCAAGAACAGTCTGTCCGTCATCAAGACAGAAGGCAGTCCTGGCGACGAGCAAGTATGAAGGAGATAAACCGACGGAAGTCGCTGGCCCCCTTCCACCCAGGCATCACAGGTGGGGTGCTGTGTCCAGAAAACTGGAATTCCAGCCCAAATAAGAGGCAGTGAGAAATGAATGACAGGAAGTGTAGCAGAGTGGACACTACTTGGCTACATTTTAGCTATGCAACTTTGAACACATCATCTCCTTGAGCCTCAGTCTCCTTACCTATAAAATAGAGAATCCTGTGGACATGCTCTTGTTTATACATCCTAATGCCACACACCTAATAAGTGTTCAGTGTTAATTGGTGTTTACATATTGGCTGCTTATGGTTTACATATGAACAGAAATTCTGGTTGCTAATTGTTTAATCTGTCATCCTATCTAGGATGCTAGGAATTTGAGTTCTTCCTGTGTCTTATACCTTAAAGTAGAACAGAAGGCAAGTGGGTTAATACCTGCCTGATTCTAGCCTTTATAGCTATGACTTAGAAGGAAGATGTGCATAAAAATACATTAAGTGGGGACAGGAATATAGTTCAGTGGTAGGGTGCATACTTAGTGTGCCTGAGGCCCTAGGTTCAATCCCTGACACTAAAGAACAAAAAGTAAAATGTTTCTAGGGATGCCATATTTGAATGTAATTTGTGTTTTTTTTTCTTCTAAATTTATAATCATTTGATTTGCCGGTATCAAAGTACAGGACATAATGCAGAAAGTCTAGTTTGGTCTCGAGCTTCACTTCCTTTGTCTTAAGTCCTTCTCAGTAAACTGGGGAAATAACACCACAGTGCATATACTTGGCCATTAGTAGAGCCTCAAGTGTTAAAGCTATTGCGATTTCTTTAAGGTGGTTATGTGTGTGGAAGGGAAACAGCCAAGTTGGAAAACTGGTGCCATAGTGCCCATGCACTTCACTCCCTAGACATGCCAAGGGAGTCGTTGTCCAAGACTAGCCCTACCTTCATTCCCATTCTGTACAACATGTTCTGTGTAACATGGAATCAACCATGTAATAAGATGAATTATTTTTCTGGTTATTCTGGCTACTTGCCAGGTTTCCTTGGTTATAGCCAGAAAGAATCTGGTTAACAGCAGCCAAAATCATTCAAGAGACAAGAATGCTTTTAAAATAGCCAGCTGAAGCCAAAGGGCAAGAATTCTTGCAGCCAATTCCTGTACTATATGATCATTGTTTACTATACAACAATTCCTGTACTATATGGTCATTGTTTACTATACAGCAATTCCTTTACTATATGATCATTGTTTACTATACAACAATTCCCTTACTATATGGTCATTGTTTACTATACAGCAATTCCTTTACTATATGATCATTGTTTACTATACAACAATTCCTTTACTATATAATAATTGTTCTTAAATGGACATCATTGAGAGAACAATGGTCAGTGACATGATTATGTAAAGCACGCACCCAGTCCATTCTCATTGCTTGCTGTATAACCTTGAGCAAGGAGTCTAACCAGCCTATGTGCCACAGTGTTACCATCTGTTATCAAAATAGAATTGATGCCAGGCATAGTCATTCTTTCCTGTGATCCCAGCACTTGGAAGTCTGATGTAGGAGGGTTGCCAGGAGTTTAAGACCAGCCTGGGCTACTACATTACAAGACCATGTTTCAAAAAGCCCAAATCAAATGAACAGAAGATACTTGCCTTAAAATTTTAATGAGATGTGCAGGGCGGCAAAGAAAAATGTCTGTTATACAGCAGGTGTTCAGCTGGTGCTGGCTATTAATAGTAGATCACGTAGGCAGCCTGCTACTACTAGGAAAACAGATCCTGCTGGCATACTTGGATTTGAAGCATGGCTTCTTCAGCCTGTCTTCAGACAGTTCACTTCCCTTCCTTGAGTTTCTCCATTCGTAAAGTGGAGCCTGTGCTGTTTATTTGAAGCCGTTTTTTCTTTTCAGTGCTGAAGGTAATATTCAGGTCCATGCACATTCGAGGCAAGGGTTCATCCACTGAGCGAGCAGCAGCCCCAACAGCTTGTAGGACTGTACTAAAGCACATTGCAGGGCCTGTTACAAAAGTGCCATCTACATTATTTGTATCTACCTTGTTTGTTTTTAATTGACATACAAAGTAATAGATTTCATTATATTTTCTATCTACTTTGTTAAACAGAACAAGATTTTAATGTAATACAATACATGAAAAGGTTCTAATAACACTTGAAAATTTGGATGCATGAAAGTGTAAACTTTATTCCTCGGTTAGCCTGGAAAAACTAGAATTCTCTTCTTACTAAGAGAAGGCAGCTTCTTGTCTTAAGCTGGGTTGCATGGAGAGGAAGGAGATTTTCCAGTTTTGTTGTCTTGCTAACTGTAGTGTGATGTTCCTTAAATGTGCTTTTTTGCGTCAGAGCTCAGCAGATCCATCAGTTTGAAGTTAGCAGGTAGCAAACGGCTTGGCGCTCTCCTGCTCTCCAGCTTCCAGGTGAGGTTCCGGGGTTGAGAAGTGTTCTCGTTCACTGTTGTGTTACTGTCACAACTTCAAAGAGATTGCAGGATCAGTGATGAACTGAGGAAAAGAGATTTTTCCATGTGGGGGACTGACTTAAAAGCCAGTTCTCACCTGGGCAGGTGGCCTTTGCACTGAATTCTGCTGTTGCTAGGCTGAGCAGCTGAAAAGTTTCGCAGTGTATTTTACTCATTGGCAGCAAGTGATGAAAATAAATTGGGTAGAGGTCAAAATCTGTCGCTGTAGACATTCAAGGCTGCCTACAGGGTAGACTGGTCTATGGAGCATATGATTTTTGTTTGTTTGTTTGTTTTGTTGATTTTTTTTGAGACAGGGTTTCTCTGTGTAGCTCTGGCTATCCTAGAACTCACTCTAAACCAGGCTGACCTTGAACTCACAGAGATTCGCCTGCCTCTGCCTCCCGAGTACTGGGATTAAAAATGTATGCCGCCACCACTTTTTTTTTTTTTTAATTTTTTTTAAGTTGTGTTTCATGTCTCACTGATGCTTATGACTGTTTAGATAAGCAAGTAATTTGTGAGAATTAAATGACTATTGTTTTCCCTGAGTTAAAAGTCAAAATGTAAGCTGGGTGTGATAGTGCATGCCTTGTGGGTGGACCTCTGAGTTCAAGGCCAATGTGTTCTACAGAGTGAGTTCCAGGACAACCTACAGAGAAACCCTGTCTCAAAAAAACAAAAACTAAAATCAAAACGGAATGTGAGCAACAGAGAATTTTTCCTTATCTACTTACTTACATGAAAAGTGTTGGATGGAAAAGTTAGGCCCTTTGTAGTTTCATCATAAAGTTTATCCTAAGCATCATAAAGCCACACATAGAGCTTGCCTGGGAGATTTTGGTGGTTGTACTGAAAATGCTTTTCTTTCTTTAGTTCTCTGTTGAGAAACTTGAACCTTTCCTAAAGAGCACTAAGGACTTCAGCCTTGAATGCTTTAGAGCGAAAGGTGAGTTGCCGAGCATAGACAAGTGCTTTGGCCTTGACCCAGTCCCTCTCTCGGAACCAGCCAGCATGCTTTCAGTGTCCTTTTACAGGAGATGCTGCCTCTTTAAACCAGGTCCCTGGCCTCTTTAAAAATTGCCCCTTCTAGCCGGGTGGTGGTAGCGCACGCCTTTAATCCCAGCACTCGGGAGGCAGAGCCAGGCGGATCTCTGTGAGTTCGAGGCCAGCCTGGACTACCAAGTGAGTTCCAGAAAAGGCGCAAAGCTACACAGAGAAACCCTGTCTCGAAAAACTGGAAAAAAAAAAAAAAAAAAAAAAAATGCCCCTTCTTACTGCTTAGGTGACGCTTTGTCTTCAGTGACAGCAGTTCACATCTCTGGGGAAAAGTGAAATTGTATAGATAGCTGCGTTTAACTGCTTTTTTCATAAGTATAAAAACACTTAATAAAGTTGCCTTCCATTTAACTATCTACCCAAATAAAAGGATAAAATTTTCTTTTGTATTTTTTTGTCTCCATGCCCTCAATTTTCTCTTACTGCGATACATCACGACCAAGACAACTTATAAAAGAAAGTATTTAGTTGGGCTTATAGTTCCAGAGAGCTAGAGTCCATGATTGCAGAGCAAAGGCATGGCAGCAGGAACAGCTGAGAGTGTACATCTTGATCTGCTAGTAGGAGGCAAGAGAGCACACTGGGAATAGCACAAGTCTTTTGAAACCTCAAAGCCCACCCCTAGTGACACACCTCCAACAAGGCCACATCTCTTAATCCTTCCTTAACAGTTCCACTAACTGGGAACCAAGTACTCAAACATGAACCTATGGGTACCATTCTCATTCAAACCACCACAGCCATCCCTTTGGTGCTGGGTACCAAACCCAGGACCTTGAATTTGCCATGCAAGTTCTCTACCATAAAGCTAAACTTCCAATCCCAAAGATAAAATATTGGCATACTTACATGACTGTTTGTGTGAATGAGAGGGCCGGAATGGGACCCTAGACTTAGGAACTCCTTAATGTCTTTGTCATGTGCTCTTGGTGAACATCTGTAATCTTTTTATTTTCTAACCAATTTATCCTCTCTAGCATCTTCTCTCTCTGAAGAATTGAAACATTTTACAGACAGGCTGGAAAGTGATGGAACTCTACAAAGATGTTTTGTTGAAGATTCAAAAGAGTAAGAGCAATTCCCCTTCTGTCCTTAATTATAACTGAGCTAAAACTTGATTATAATTACGCCATTGCTTACACAATAAACATTTACCCAGCGCCTGTGTACCACCACACTCTTAATTGTTTATTTTTGCTTTCTTGAGATAGGGTCTCTGTAGTCCAGACTGGACTCAACCTTGGCAATCCTTTTACCTCTACCTTCCAAGTGCTGGGATTACAGGTGTGAGCTGCCATCCTTGGCTTGTACAAGGCTCTTCCAGATGATGAGGAAGGGGATGTAGTGATCAATGAGTCAAGTCCCTCTTGTCCTGTTTGTATTTGAGGAGATAATGCAGAGAAAATTCAGTCTCAGCTAGTGATAAATAAACCAGGGAGTCGGCAAGTAGCATAGTGACGTCAGGAGCAGGCAACCTTGGTAGAGTTTTGAGAGAAGATCCTAATGGTTTCATTTGGGGCTGGAACAAAAGACCTGGGTAGCAAGAAGGAATGACTTGGGAAGACTGAGGGGGCCGTTCCTCCGATCTTTTTCCTGGATCTCGCTCTGTAGACCAGGCTGGCCTCGAACTCACAAAGATCTGCCTGCCTCTGCCTCCCAAGTGCTGGGATTAAAGGTGTGCGCCACCACCGCCCGGCTCTCGTTCCTCCGATCTTTGATTGTCATGCAGAGGGCAGCTCTTGTTCTAATGTTCTTTGCAAACACGAATATTAGCAGATGGTAAATGTAAGAGCTCTTGCTGCACAAGCTGATGACCTCGTTTCTATCCATACCTCCCTTGGAAGGATGCAAACCCATTGTTGAAAGTTGTCTTCTGACCTGTACACACTCTATGTCATATGCATACCTTCACATGTGCGTATGTACATGCAAACACACGACTACTACTAACAATAATAATAAATAGAATTTATTGTTAAAAGGATATCACCCTAAATTGGTAATCCTTCAAGGGTGCGGCTGCCATCACAACTCCACCCTGCAATAGATCATGCACTTAGTCCGAGTTTGAAATTCATTCGAGGTCTGCCCATTCACAAGTTCTTAAGGGTGACATTTCTCATCAGACATGGAATATTTTCGCCCAACAAAATCTCTCTGAATGTGTATTTAAGCACAGTTGGCTGCATCTTTGCTAGAGATACTGTGCACAAGCCTTGGTAGAAAAACAGGAGTTGTGCCACTGCTAATCTGTGTTTGTCAGATGGCAGCCCAAGTCTATCTGCAGTGCTTTGGCGTTTTCAGTCCCTGCTTCTTTGCATTAGAAATAATCATCCTAGTGAGCCGAACCATAGAGAAATTGCTGAGTTAAGAGGAGCCGGAACACAGAAAGTCTCAAGAACCAAGTTAAAGGGTTTTGGCTTTTATTCTGTTTGCAGTAGTCATGGAGTTTTGAAGCTGGGGAGAAAAAGTATAAAGGACTATTTTTAGAAAGGTATGAAGTGGAGTTGATGAGAAAAACAGATTTAAAAACCATTTAGCCGTTGCTAGTGCAAAGTAGATATTGAGTCCAAGAATAAATATTCTCTGAATAATAAAAAATTATGAGTATATTTAAATACCACTAAAATTATGTAAGACATTAAAAGCAAGTGTTTGTTGAAGGATTCATATTAATCTCATAGTATTATCTGTGTTCTAGAAAAGCACCAGATTTTTCACTGGAAACCTCAGTGGCTGAGGTGAAAGAATATATAGCAAAGTAAGTAAAATGGGTGAACCTTTCTTAGAAAACTGAGCCTTGTTCTCCACCAGGGAAATAACTGAATGCGGAGAAAATGCCTGGTAAGCCTGGTGGAAGCACTCGTGTGTCAGCTCTAGAGCCGGAAGGCACATGAGCAGCCCTGATAGACGGGGTGCAGTCAAGGAATAAGGGTGTTAATTTGATTTTAACAGCTTGTGTATTACTTGATTAAATTAATACCCTCTGAATCAGTTGAGCTTTCTAATCCTTTAATGACCTTTTAATGCATTTTATAACCAGATTACATGCCTAGAGTACTTATTGTTGCCCTGAGTAATTAAAAATGTGACCAAAAGTTAACTGAATTTCCCTTCCTGAATTCCACAGGTTTTCTTTGGAACGTCAAACTTGGGATCAGCTCTTACTACAATACCAGAATGAGGTTCCACCCGAAGAGACGCCCAGGTGAGACCCGAGAACTGGAAAGGAACAGCTCTCTTTTTACTTTGTGAAATTTGATTTGAGTTTATTTCAAATCCATTTGTACAAACTGAGTGATGAATCTGTTCTCATAGTTCAGTCAACTTTAAAGTATCCATTTGTTTTCTTTGGTGGAATGGAGGACAAAAATGGAAGCCTAAGTGTCACTGTTTTCAGACACAGAACAGAACTGCTTCTAGGCTGTGTTTTTGGCTACTATTCACAATCCTCAGGGAGATGGGCACATGGCCACCCTTGCACCTGTTCCCCTGGAACTGAGCCAACATCGCTCCTCAAAAGACTTTAGTGAGTGAGTACATGGCCTTTGAGCTGTAGATAGGAGAGAGAACCTTGGTTAAGGCCTTGGTGAAAACACAAAGCCATGAAGGGAGTGGAACAGGAGGTATAAGATATGAGAGGCCATCTTTGGCTAGGTAAGTCAGAGAAGGTTCGAAAGCACTAGATTTTGTTTTACTTCAGCATCTGAACTGGTTTCATTAGTTTAAAATACGGTCTCACGAGGCAGCCAAGGTTGGTCTCAAATCCCCAGGTGTACATCAAATTCACAATCCTCCTGTCTCAGCTTCCCAGTTGCTGGTATTGTAAATGTGCGGCACCACAAATCTCTCAGCTGGTATTTGAAAGCTCTTCCCCCAACCAAATCTCACTTACAAAGGCAACTATAAAGTGTTAGGTGAAACCCTAGTCATAGAGGTGCTGGAAAGAGGCTCTGAGGAACATAACAGGGTTTCCCTCTCAAAGACACTCTTACATATTGTTTCCAGAGAAGGATTGTAAGCTCCAGGAAAACTCCGGATTTGTTGTTGTTGTTGTTGTTGTTTTAGGGAATCAACTGAAACCAAAATCACTGAAGTCCAAGTGGATCCTACGACTTGTCTTGGTTCTTCCCAGAAGGAAGTCCTTCACACAAAGCCTGACTACCAGGAAATAGTACGGAATCAGAACCGTGTCTTTGCCTGCATGGAGTTAGTGGTTAGTGCTTTGGGCTTACTACGTGGATTGCCCAGCTTTCTGGACTTGTCACCATTTCTTAGCGTTATGACATTCTGACAGAGTACCTGAGGTGACTCAAGGAGGAAGGGATTATTTTGGCTGCTAATTTCAGTCTGTGGTTGTTTAAACCCTGTCGATTTGGACTGCAGCCATGCAATAATGGTGGTGGGAACATGTGGCAGAGGAGACTACTCCCCTTATGAGGGTGAGTAACAAGAGGAGCAGGGAGAGACAGAGAGTTAGGTCCTGATAGCCACTTCATGCTCCCAAAAAGCTAAACTACTTCTAAAGGTCCCATCACCTCCTGCTGGTGACACTTGAGTAGCAGCAACAAAGCCTTTTAAAGTGTAAGCCTCAGGAGAACACACAAAATAGGAGTTCAGGCTTAATCTTTGGAAGTAAAAGATGTGTAATAAGGATATCAACCTCTCGACCATGGGAAAACGAGGAAAAAATTTAAGTAAATATATAATGTTAAGTGCTAATAAAACAGAGTGATGGGGTAAAGAATACAGGAGGAGCAGTGAGCTGCTATTTTACATACAGTGGCTATTAGCTCCTTTGTCATTATGCTCAAACAAAACCTAGAGGACTTGGCATCTTGTTGGTAGAGGTTTGGGGGTCAGTCTCCTGGGGCATGGAGCAAGCTGGAGAAATGTAGGGTGTGGTTGAGTGGGTGCCAAGAGCGAATGTCTGGCATCAGCATTCCAGGCTGAAAGAGCAGGCCTAAAGCTCCAAAGCAGGAGCTTGCCTGGCAGTATGGGGAATCAGAGAAAGTCCTTTCTGTCTGCAGATGGATGAGCTGCAAGGATCAGTGAAGCAGCTGCAAGCCTTCATGGATGAAATACTCAGTACCTCCAGAAGGTGTCACTCCAGCTCAGTAAGTGCATCATTTGAGGGGACCCCTTGCGATCTAAACTGTCTTTCCAGGCAGAAGGTCCTTAGACTTAAGCCATATGACTTGTTTTACTCCCCATAGTAAGTCGAATGTTGATAGAAATGCCTTAGTGTAAATTCCATAAAAGCACTCCATGAAGATACCCACTGCTTTTTGACGGCTTCAGTTTTCAAGAACGCATGAAGTAAAGCTGCAGGTACTTTCCCAGAGTTTTTCCTGGCTTTCTCTGTCCATTTTCTTATTTATCACACCATACTGGCTTTCCTACTAGACTGCCATCTCCTTGAGAACAAAGATTTTATGTGTCATTTAGTGGCCTTCACTGTCTGGCACAGTTTCCACATAGAGTTCCAATAATTGAAATGTGGTTTTTGGCTCCTTTCCTCTGCAGAGAAGAGAAGCATGGAGCAATTAGATTCTTCACCTGCTCGAAAACTGCTCAAACTCCACCTGCCGAATTCATCTACCACACAGTGATCAGGATCTTGTTGGCGACCTTACCTGTTCTTTCTGTGGTGAGCTGCCAGGGAGAGGACAGGGAAGAGTACCTCCACACACGGCAAGCTCATAGCACTTTCCTCAGAGCTGGAAAGTTCCGACTGCAGAGCACTTTGACTGTTTCTGAGCGACAGCATGTATGCATCCAGAAGAATGTTGTTAGAGACACTTTCCGTGGGAATGTGCAAGATGCTTGAAATGACCTTCAGAAACAGTGGCCCATTCCTTTAAAGGTCCTCAGGGTCAGCACTTTTTATCCCATGAAGATATTGTCAAGTTTTAAAACAACCCAAAGACATTTAGAACCAACCTTAACGAAATGTTCGAGGGGGCAAGTTGGGTTCTTGTCATAAAAGAAAGAAGCTAAAGTTTTCAAGTGTGGCACTAAGAGTGGCGCATGAAATTTTGTTGCATGATGGGTGTATTTGGATCATGTCACAAAATGCCCATTTTCTGAAGTGTCCTAATGTCTGTAGTGTGCTTTAGTTTTTAATACTGAATTGAGCTCCTGCAATCTAAATTTATGGCAAGAAAGGGCTAAGACGATTTAATTTTTTTTCTCTGGAAATTCCCCTTTGCCCCGCTAAGAATTGACCCCAAGGTCTTGCATGTGCTAAGCAAGCATTCTCACTGAGCTGCATCTTTAGTCCCCGTATTTTATTTTATTTTTTTAAAGTTGTTCTAGTTGCTGAATGGTGCCTAGAACATAATAGACCTGTAAGATATGTTTTAAAAATCTTGTGTTGTCATTTCCTGTGACTGAGGAACAGTTACTTAACCTCTTGTCTAGAACATTGGAATAATGTTAGAATCCGTGTTTTAAGGACACTCAAAAGATTTTAAATAGTAAAAGCCTAAAACCATATTATCAGTTTATTGCTGAAGACTTAAAAGTTTAGTAGATGAGCCGGGCGGTGGTGGCGCACGCCTTTAATCCCAGCACTCGGGAGGCAGAGCCAGGCGGATCTCTGTGAGTTCGAGGCCAGCCTGGGCTACCAAGTGAGTTCCAGGACAGGCGCAAAGCTACACAGAGAAACCCTGTCTCGAAAAACCAAAAAAAAAAAAAAAAAAAAAAAAAAAGTTTAGTAGATGGTAGAGTAGTTAATGAGGTGGGAAAGCGCTCATGTCTAATTGGGCTACCACATGGAGAATTCAAGCAGGCTGCTGCTATATGCACAGGTGGAGACCAGTGTAGTAAAGTCTGGATTAGAAATAAAATTTAAGTTATGCCTAGTTATTGAAGATTGAGGATTTATATTGTCCAAAGTAGAACAAGAAAGGACATTCCAGATAGCCTCCAAGAAAGTCAGTATTTTAAGAGTCGAAGACAGTATTATTAACCATTGTTTCAAAAGCAGAGAAGTATAACAAAGAGTACAAATTTTGGAGCTTAGTTTCATCTCATCAGTTTGCTCTGTCTTCAAAGGTGATTATGCCTTCCTCCATTTTATTACATTCTATCACTTTTTGTTTATTTGTAAGTGTTCAAACTTGAAGATAGGAAATGTGTTGCGTGTCTTCAACCACTTAAAAGGGCTAGAACATTAAAGAAAAAAGACCAAAACACTAAAAACTTAGATCTCAGCACTCAAGAAGTAGAAATCAGGAGTTGGAGGCTCCCCATGGCTATGTAGCAGATTCTAGACCAGTGGACTGCATTAGACCCTGTCTCACAATACTTAGGGAGCTCTAAGCATCAATAGTGCTTACCACAGCTTTATTATTGAGAGAGGCTTTTTTGTTTTTTGTTTATTTGTTGTTTTTTGTTTTTGTCATTTATAGAACATTAGAAATGTTTCCTAATTTAGCCAAGGATATATGGGTAGGAGGGTAAACCAGCACCAGTTCAGTACTTAGTAAATGTTAACAATTAAATATAAATCATATAATAAAAGGCTATCAGTATTAGTTTTGCCTTCATTCAGATTGGTTTGGGAATAGTGCCTGATTAATAACAATGAGAATCTTAGAGTTTGGGGCCAACCTGGTCTACATAGTGAGTTCTAGGATAGCTTGGACTACATGGAGAGACCCTATCTCAAAAAACAAAAAAGTTTGGTTGTATTTGTTCTCTTTCTCCAAGAATAATGATCTTTAGTTAATTATACTTAGTGTTAATAAGATAATAGGTTAATAAGCTCTTGAGAGAGATCATGTCCTGTACATTGGCTGCATAGCAAATTCTAGGCTAGTATGGTATCTTGGAGTTTCCATTTCTGTGATAAAACGCCATGGCCAAAATCAACTTGGAGAAGGTTTGTTTTGTTTTACACTTTTAGTTAGCAGTTTATCACTGAGGGACGATGGCAGGAACTGTTAACAGGCCATCGAGCAGTGGTTCTCAACCTTCCTAATGTTGTGACCCTTTAATACAGTTCCTTGTGTTGTAGTGACCCCAACCATAAAATTATTTTGTTGCTACTTCATAACTAATTTTGCTACAGTTATGAATCATAATGTAAATATCTGATATGCGACCCACAGGATGAGAAGTGCTGTCTACCAGCTTGCTCTCTCATGGCTTGCTCAGCCTGCTTTGTTATACCATCTAGGACCGCCTGCTCACAGTAAGCTGGGCCCTCCTTCATCAGTCATCAGTCAAGAAAATACACCACACAGGCCAATTTGGTGGGGGCATTTTCTCAATTGAGATTCTCTCTTCCCAAATGACTCCCAACTTTATGTCAAGTTGACATAAAAGCGGCCAGCACATACAGGTTACATGCTCATTTTCATTCTGGTCTAGAGAAATGGCTTAGTGGCAAGAATGCATATTGTTCTTGCAGAGGATGGAGTTCAACATCAAGTCCCCATGTTTGATGGCCCACAACTCCAGCTCTAGGGGAAATCTGCAACCTCTGGCCTAGTTGGGTACCTGCTATATTCAGCCACATCACCACGTACACGTAATTAACAATGAAAAATCTTTAATTGTTGAGTCATTAACTTTGAGTAACCATCTCTTCATACTCAAGCAAATGATGTGGCTGCCATTTGTTAAGAGGCGAAAGAGGATTAGGAATTTGAACTCTTGAGACTCAAATTCTAGCTCAGGAGTGCCAGATGATCTTGCATGTAGCTCTAAACCTTGTTAAAACAAGTATGTCATGGCCCTTAAAGGCTTACTAATAATTTAACCAAGAGGAATAGATAGACGGGTCCAGACCGAGCTTTTCACAGTTCAGGGCAGGTCTGAGCCACAGCCTCTGAGGCCGCAAGAAGAAAAGAAACTACAGTCAAGATGGCGCTGCTAGGCGCTCCGGGCCTGGCCACCATCTTTCCTGTAGTTCCCAGCGTAAGCGAGCGCGTCGCGCATGCGTAAATCCCCGGCTTCTTCAGCGCGCGTGCGCAGCGCAGCGCCTCCCCCGCCCCTCGTTGCTGCCGCTGCTGCTGCAGCTGCTGTTGACTGACGGCCCGCGGTAGCGCTTCAGGTGAGTGAGCGCCTCTGCCACAGCGGGCGGAGGGCGCGCGGCGCGGTACACCCGGGTGTCGCTCCCTTGGGCGCTGCGGACCGATGCCCACACGGCAGAACCCAGGTCCTCGCGGTCGGCCTCCTCCGAGCCCCCGGCGCCGTGCGCGTTCAGCCCGGCCTCCCGCGCCGCTGCCGGCACCTAGCCCGCGGGGCACAGCGTGTGCCTTGCTGGGGTCGAGCCTCTCTCCCGAGGCCTGCACCCTCCGTCGCAGGGACCCTCTGAGGGTGTCACCGTCCTCCCGGCTCCCACGGCGCAGCTCGGAGCCCCTAGATCTGAGCATCCCCTACCCCGCTGCCCCTCACAGCCCAGAGTTTTGACAGGGGCCTTGACTCGCCTTCGGTGGGTTCCGTCCCAAAGCCACAGAGGTCTCCCTCTCTCCTGGGACCCCATGACCCCGGTTTGCATAAAGCCCACTTTGTAGTCAAGGAAACTGAGGCACTGGGAGGTGAAATGCCGAGTCCAAGGTCATGGGACCGACAAGTGACACGGCCAGCGCTCTAACTCAGAGGCTTTGGGGCTTTCACGGCCAGAGCTGGTGGAATTTGATCTTGTATCTTTAAATTTTTTGGAAACGCACTTGTCATTTATAGAGTTGCTTTTAGACGTCGTAAAAGTGGGCTACGAACAGAATTTGTCAGTACGATGGAAGAGCTGTTGTGATAACAATTGCGATGTTAATATGAGCTGGCTCTCTCCCAAATACTCGCCTTGTGCCAGTACCTTGCTAAGCGTTTTATTAAAATTGTTCACCTTTGTACCTCACTGCTTTCCCATCCAATGCTTCCTCCCTGCTTTTCCTTGAAAAAAAAATTTTTCCCCCCTCCCTGCAGAGCCCTCCTCCCTGTCACAGGTAGACTGGGAGTCTTGGCTTAAGCAGGGAGGCTCTCCCCTGGTGGTTCCCTGACAGAACACAGTAAGCTTTGCTTACATCCACCTCCCACCCCACTCCACCTCACCCCCCAAGGTATAGTTAGTCTTCCTTTTCTAGCTGCCAGGACTAGGTAATAGGACAGGGCTGGGCTGACTGGACTTGTGGAGGTGACAGAGCAGATTTAGCCAGTACTCACCTCCTTTGGGGACTTTCTGGCTCTGCTCCAGAACATTTTCAGGCCTTAAGATAAAAAGGGAAAGCGTTGACAGGGGTGATGCAGAGTCTAAGACACCTCCTTTGATTTGAGTCCCAAATGAACAGCTATAAAAATGTGTTGATTTTTGCCCCCAAAATAACTAGCTCAAACTGTCTTTTCCTTCCTTAGCAAATCCTCCTCCACACTTTAAAGGCTCCACAGAATTTTCACCTTTATAAAGCCTTCCCTGCTTAATTTTCCCAGCTAGAATTAAATACTACACTACAGGCTGCAGGCCTGTGTCTTACCTTCAGGGCTATCATCCTCTCCAGGTCAGGCACCCCTAGATGCCAGGCTCCTAGTAAACCCTTGGTAAATACCGAATTCCCACTGTTCCTTGTTCTTACTCAAGGGATGATGTTTTCTCGCTGTCCTTCTGTTGGTCCTCTTGTCCTTCAGTTCCTCTTTGCTGTCCCTCCCTTTAGATTTATCTTCTGATTATCCCCACTCATCCTTAGTCTACCCTTTGTTTTTGAAAGTTTGCAGATAATTGGTCTTGCATCTAGAAGTCTCCCCTACCGTGGAGCTGGTGTATGTATATATATATATATATATATATATATATATATATATATATATATATATATATATATATATATATTTATATTTATATTTATATTTATATTTATATTTATATTTATATTTATATTTATATTTATATATGCTTCGTTAGCCTACGGAGGAGTTTTTCTTTTTATGTGGCAGTAGGAGTATCCAAGGCTTATGACATTTTAGTCTGTACTGAAGTTTGTGTGAGATGCATTTTTTCATTCTTTTGCTTTGTGTGGCTTATTACCCTAGGTGACATGAGAGTGATCATAGTTTTTATTGTATATCAATACATGGTATTTATAATAAAAATTAATAATATTCACAAGGCCCTTTTGGAGACAGCAGATATGTGCATAGGTTTTCTTCATAAATGAGCTGCTGCTGCTGCTTTTGTTTTGTTTGGTTTTTAGATTTATGTATCTATTTGTGCCTGTGTCTGTGCATGTATTAGATCAAACGTGCCCCACAGCATGCATATGGGGATCAGAGGACAATTTTGGAGAGTCAGTTCCTCTTCTACTTTGCAGGTCCTTGGGATTGAACTCAGGTCATCAGGATTGGGGGAAAGTGCCTTTACCAGCTGAGCCATTTTACCAGCCCAATTATTTTATTTTTTTAAGCAGTGCCTCACTTTGTAGGCCAGTCTAGCCTCAAACTCTTGATCTTTTGACCTCAGCCTCTGGAATACTGGAATTACAGCACCTGCCACCAAACTTGACTTAATAAAGTTCCTTTAAAAATTTATATAAAATTTAAATTTATTTATTTATTGGGGGGGCACAATGCTATGCTGTGCATGTAGAAGTCAGAGAACAACTTTGTGGAGTCAGTTCTATATTTCAGGGATTGAATTCAGGATGCCAAGCGAGCATCTTTACTACTGAAACACCCTAAAACTTCTTAAAGAGTTATTTGAAATTATTTCCTGATACTACAGTGAATTATTATTGTATATAAGGTATAGTAATGAGTATTGTAGAAGATTCAGAATTGAATAAAAAATGATTCCTTTTCAAGCAGTTTACTAACTGACGAGGGAAAACTATTTTAACTGTGACATATCTAAACACTGCCACATTAAGTTACAAGCAAAGCAATATGAGAATATAATGAAATGATGGTCCGATGTGGGAATTATTCGGTTTTTTTGAGAAGGGGGTCTTATATCCCAGGCTGTCCTTAACTCCTGATCCTCATGCCTCTATCTAAGTGCTGGGCTTACTGGCATGTGTCACCACACCCAGTTTGGAAAATACCATAAAATTATATTCAATCTGAAAACAAGCATTGATCTTACATTCTCTCTTTTGGTAGACAGTATCCTGAGAACTGAATTTGTCCAAGGTTATAGAACTGAGATTACAGCTTGACATTCCAGACTTTTTATTCATTAAGGATTTGCCAGGGCAGAGAGGATAGCTCAGTGGTAGAGAACATGACTAGTATGTGTGAGACCTTGGAAATCATTCCCAGGATCTTTTTTTTTTTTTTAAGTTACCAGTGTTTCTCCTTTGTGTGAAGACATTAACCAGCAACTCTTAAAATTTCTGGGTATGTGTTTAGATCAAGAGGTAGAAGAGATAAATACACTCGTGGCTATAAAGGAGCATCTGGTCTATTAGGGAGAAGATAACTGTTCTGGACCACTGAAGACAGTGTATAGATAATGTCAAGGTAGATGGGAGAGGGATTAGGTGTGGTGTGGGACTTGGGGAAGAGGTCAGCAGCAGCCGCAGCCTACGCCTTTAATCCCAGCACTGGGGAGGCAGAGGTAGGCAGATCTCTGTGAGCTCAAGGCCAGCCAGCCAGCCACACAGAGAAACTCTGTCTCAAAAAACAAAAACAAAAACAACAAAAAAAGATTTTCAGAGCTTGGCAGATCGATAGTGTCAGAATTGAAAGGACAAGGAGAGCATTTTGAAGTTTGGGTGACAAAACTGAAACAAGATAACAGTGTCTGCCATGGGTAAAGGGTGAAAAAACAACCAAACCAACCAAACCAAAACAACCCGACTTGATTGTATTAGAACTGTAGTTCTTAACCCTCCTGTGCATCAGTCAACTAGACAGCTCATTAGCACATTGCTTCTCTTGCCTCCAGAGTTTCTGATTCAGTAGGTCTTAACAGGGGTCTGAGAATTGAGTTCTAACACATCCCCAGATCATGTTGATTCTCCTAGTCTGAGGGCCACACTTTGAAACCCACTAGATGAGAATATTGAAAAGCTAGTCAGAAAAAGGCAAAGAGCTTGTTCCACAGAAGGAGAGAAAGAAGAGGGCGTGGGGCAGAGGCGAAGGAGGGAGGGAGGGAGAGACTGACTAAGTGTGTTACTGGCATGGGTCAGTTCTGGAAAAATACATATAACACCATTAATAGTCACTTCAAAAAATGGGATATGGGAGCCTGAGGAATTAGTTTTGAAATGTATACCTTTGTAAGTTATTTTTACAATGTGCATGTATTGCTTTTGTATTTTAAAAAGGAAAGGAAAGGAAACCTTCTTGAAGATTGATATTAAAATATTTATGGATTTTAAAAAGAGCTCGATAAAGTGATCTAGTCATACTACAAACATTTTTAGTGCCTGCTGTATGGCAGATGCTGGTAGCTTCTGGAAACACAAATCGTTTGCTAAAGCATCGAGTCTGGTGATAGGGCTCTACAAAAAACAACTCCAGTTAGTATCACAGTGAACTCTCTAGGAGTAGGGATCAGGGCCTAGCTGATAATAGGCACTTGATGAATGATGAATGGATGATCAAATCCAGGTAAGAAATAAGAACCATAGGAAAGAAAAGACCAAATGGAAGGTTTGTTTTGTTTTTATTTGTTTATTTGTTTGTTTGCTTGGGTTGCAAGGGTGGGGAGTAGGGTATGTGTGTGGGAGGGTAGCGGTAAGCCTGGATAAGCAATATGAAAGGAAACAGTTTACCAGGAAGGACTCTAGGAGGTAGAAACAGGAGGATCAAGAGTTTAAGGTATTCTTGGCTACATAGCAAGTTTGAGGCCAGCCTGGATTACAGAAGACCATCTCAGAAAGGTGTGCCAGGGAGGAGAGGGGCCTTCTGAAGTCCAAAGATTAATAATACTGCAGGTTTAGTGCTGAAAAGGTGTTATCTATTCTGAGAAATTCCCATTCCACTTATGAGGCTGCTTGAGAACAGCTTGCCAAGATTGAGAACATGTATTTATAGGTTTCAGGGTTTCCTTTGGTAAGTGAAAAAAACTTTAGTTATAGTGCTAACTCTATTGTATTTATAACTATAACCTATAATTTT